AGAAAAAGGGAAATTTGAAAAGGGATATTTACCCAACTACACTGACGAACTGTTTCGCGTACATATTAAAAACGACAATAGATCTCCTATTACATATAAGTTAAAAGATTTTGAAGGAAATTTAATTGAAGGGATATTTTATAGAGAAGAATTGGTACCCACACAAGAGGATACAACTCACCGTATTGCCGAAGTTTTAAAAACACGTACACGTCAAGGTAATAAGCAACATTTTGTTCGTTGGATAGGATATAACGATAATTTTAATAGTTGGATTAAAGGTTGAGACATCATCGCCCCCAAAAGGTTTCAGTTTTCTATTTAACCGTCTTTCTAAGGACCCGTTAGTGAAAGAGATGATTAAAGAGACGCGTGGAGAAAGTACTTCAGAGGAAAGTTCAACTGATAATCAAACAGGTACTGGGAAAAGAAGAAAACGAGTTCTAGTAAAAGTCTTGCCTATAAATTCACCAGGATTTGTTCGGCGAAAAAATAAATTTATTCCAAAAATATGGGAAAAGCTTTAGATACTTTCTTAGAAAAAATATATTATTCACTTAATTCACCCGCCTCCTATGCAGGAATAAATCGCGTCTATGAAGAAGCGCGTCGTAAATACCCGAAAATAAAATTTGAATATGTTTATGATTTTCTTCATAGGCAGAGGGTCTATACAATGCATAGGCCTCTAAGAAAAAAGTTTCCTAGACTAGCCACTAGACCAGGCGGTTTGCACACAGATTGGCAAGCGGATTTGGCAATTTTTGATCAGTTAGCTAAATATAACGAAGGGTACAAATATCTTTTGGTTTGTATTGATGTACTAAGTAGAAAAATTTTTGCGGTGCCTGCCAAATCTAAGAGTTCTGAAGATATGATTGATGCGTTCGAAAATATTTTTAAACTTTCAAAAGGAATACTTCCTCATAAATTATATACGGATCGTGGGTTAGAATTTGAAGCGAAACGAATGAAAGAATATTTTAAAAAGAAGGATATAAATAAACGAGTAGTTTATAGTCCAGATGTGCATGCTTCAATGGCAGAAAGGGCTAACCGTACTATCAAAGAGCGATTGTACAGATATTTTAGCGAAAAGAACACCTTGCGTTGGATAGATATTATTCAAAAAATTGTTTCAGGAATAAATGCAAGTATTAATCGAACCACAGGGGTGACTCCAAATTCTGTTACGTTTAAGAATGCTCGGGAACTTTTTAACAGACTATATAAGGATCCTAAAAATATACAAAATACTAAAACAAGCTCAATACTAGAGCCAGGACAAATTGTTCGTATCACAAAAGAAAAAGGGAAATTTGAAAAGGGATATTTACCCAACTACACTGACGAACTGTTTCGCGTACATATTAAAAACGACAATAGATCTCCTATTACATATAAGTTAAAAGATTTTGAAGGAAATTTAATTGAAGGGATATTTTATAGAGAAGAATTGGTACCCACACAAGAGGATACAACTCACCGTATTGCCGAAGTTTTAAAAACACGTACACGTCAAGGTAATAAGCAACATTTTGTTCGTTGGATAGGATATAACGATAATTTTAATAGTTGGATTAACGATAGCGATATTGTTAGAAGATAAATATGGACTCTTTTTATGTAATATTGCCCTCAAATACAGGAGGGGTTGAAGGAAATACCACTTCTAAATTTACTGTTCGAATGCCTGATACTCTTGAATTGGATTCAAGTTGGACTGTTGCACTATCTAATATTATATATCCGTTTTCTTTTTCATTGGCCGGAGATTCCGAAGAACAAGAATCAATAACCGTTTTTCGAAGATACGGAAATGAACTTTTACCTATTCGTATCGAGATACCCGATTTGTCCTTTGCCTCAGAAGAAGCATTGGAAGAGGCTATTAATGCAGTTTTGCTTGATGTATGGAAAAAGGAATTGGATCGCGAACGAGAGGAAATAAGGCTTGAAGAGAATAAAAAAAGAATTTATGGGAATTTTCGTAAAAGGCGTTCTGTCGAATCTATAAAAGAACAGTATGATAAACATGGTTATTTCGATCTTTATACAAATGAACTCAATAAATTTATCAAGCTATTATCAGAAGAGGATGAGGCAATTAGTCCAAAACTTACAAATTTGAGTCCAGGAGAAGGAGGAAAAAATATTCGTCTTTTGCCTCCTGCAAATCAAAAATCTCTTTACTTAAAAGTTATTGATAAATTTATTCAGCAAACTATTATTCAATTAGAACCTACTGAGCAATTGGCTAAGAATGGATATTTCGATATGCAAAAGCAAACCTCATTTAATTTTATGAAATATTTAGGCAAAAAAGGAATTCGATTACCTCCTATTAGCCCATCCCCTCTTGCAGCGGATGGTATAGAAAGGGTTCGGTTTCGTCCGTATACCGATCAAATGGAGCGAATCAAACAGGCTATTACAGAATTTATGAATCCATCGAGGGACGATCAAGCTGAAGAGAAAGTTGTATCTGTCAATAGTCAAGAAATAACCCCTGAATCAACTCAACAAACAGAGGATGAGCATGAGAATCCGCAGGTTGATTTCTCGCTAGAGACTATCACTCAACAATTGGAAAAGGAAGATTATTTTGATATGCCAAAGGACCGTGCTTATAAATTTATAAAATATTTAAATACGGAAATTAAGGGCGCAAAACTTCCAAATGTATCTACGGTTGCCGGAAGCTCTGTTGAGACGGTTAGATTAAAGCCACAAACTGATCAGAAGGATCTAATAATGAATGCAATTAAAAGTTTCATGTCCAATTCTCCATTCGTGCCTGAGTCTATTCAACAATCAGAAACAGATTCTGTAGAAGAAAGTTTTGTTGAAAATGATTTTAGGTATTTTAGGGTCTATATTATTTTAGGGTCGAGGAGAGTCTATGTACCTATAGGTGGCCATAGCTTTTCCTCAGGAGGTAATAGATAAAAAAAAGTTTTAAAATATTTATATATTTCAAGTTCTTTTTTCGACTTATCAACAGCCTCTTTCTGGTTTCTCAAACATGGGACAAATTAATCCAATTGCATATTCCAATCCACCAATTGTTCCAAATTTAATTCAACATAAAAGCTTTGCTGGAGGAAAAATGAGACCAACTAAGCCAGTTAAACAACATCAACACCCTGGTAGTAAATTCGGTAATAGTGTTGTTTGCCGGCCACATTTTTTCTCCCCAAGTTTTTTCCTCTATGTACAGAATGGTCTGTAAATATATAGAAAAAATTTAGTGATGAAAAAATTGGTCTGGAAAACGACCCTATTACTTAAATTCTGTCTATTTAATAGAATCAATATTACTTTAAAAATTCAATTGGGATTTCATAAATTTCGCGCCAAACTTTGCGGATTCAGATTTGCGGACCCGAACTTGCAGACTCCATCTATATTTTGGCCATCTAAATTTTTACTTAAAGGAATTTTTTTCGCTATTTTTTACTCAAGTTTCGGTCCTCAAATTTTGGGTCCACAAAAATAATGTCAACAAATTTGAGCATCTTTTTGTTAAATAAGTTAGTTGAACGGAGATATTATTGGGAATATGACAGGACCAATGAAATTTTTATTTCCACAGTTTTTCAACAATTTAAAATTATTTTAGATCCACAACGATTTCCTTGCCCTTATCGTGCTTGTGATAAGGTTTATCAACGTGAATCAGACCTAAACCGACATTTAGCTTGGCATAAAAAATAAAATGGAGGATAATTGATTTGGTGGAAATATGTATTTTTTGGATTTGAAGCTTCTATTTTTCTTTTCGGTGTGAGTTAAATTGGGACTTGTAGATTTATGTTTAATTAAATCTTGCCAAATCTTTCTTACTTTTTTTCCATTTTAGAGATGTATCACTTCTATACTTTTTAAATTATTTTAATCTCTTAAATATTTTTGATTATTTTTCTAAAAATTATTTATCAAAATTTTTAAATTATTTATATACAATTTAAGCTCAATAAATAAAACGAGTTTTATCTTTCTAAATTATTAATTCAAATAAAAATTTCTTAAAAATATTTTAAATATTTTTTCTTTTTGTTCTCTGAAAAATCGACGATTCTTTAATACATACTCTTTAAACAATTCTCTTAACAATTAATTTTTTGTTTCTATTAAAAGATACATCATCTTAAATTATTTCATTAAATGCCTTAAAAATTTTCGATTTAATTTTTTTTTAATTTTGTTGCTCATTGTCAATATTTTGTCTAAACTTATACATTCGAAAAAAAATTATACATTTTTTTTGAAATTATATAATTAAATTCACAAATTCTGATTTTATCCAATAAAACGGGGATAAATAAATCTTTTTAAAATACTAGATATTAACCTACTTTCTGATTTTTTAAAAATTATTTTTATTAAAATTGGGTTTCATCGATTACCTTTTTTGAATTATATAATTTCAGATGTTTTAAATTTGTATTTATTTATGACGAAAAATTTGAATAAATATTTTCAATATTTTGCTATATTCAAAAAAGTTATATAGCTATGTATTTACTAATTTTAGTAAATTATTTGAGTGTATTTTTAAATGAAATTTTGAGAGTATTAAAAATATTTTTATAGTGAATATTTTTAATTTTTAATAAATACAATTTTGATAGATATTTTGTACAAAAGATGGGAGTAGGGTGAAAATCGGGTTTCATCTTTAACTCAAATACCGTATTTTTCGATTAATTCTCCTCCCTCGAACCCCCTCTCGATTAATTCCCCATGCTAGAGGTGGGTTGAAACAATAATTCCCCACCCCCAAATACCCTACTGCACGTTCAAATGCCAAAACTCGAATAATTCCCCAGGGGAATTATTTGAGAAAATACGGTATATATGTTTGTATAAGAGGTTGTTATTTTACCAGTGGAATTTCAACGAGGGTATTAGAGAAAAAAGTTATTTGATCAGAATTTACTGGTTATTTTATTTAAAAAAGAGCTTTTTTTTCTTCCCAATTCCTTCATTTTCCAAATTTATTTAGTAACAGCTCTCGTATATTCTCTAATATTATGATGTTTTTGATACCCTCCTTGGCTGTCACTTCTCTCATAATAACTTTCTTCTCGTGAATAACTTGCTATATTACTATCAAAAACATTATCAGATCCTTCCAATAAAGGAATAGCTGCTTGTATACAAAACCAAGTTAGCATTGAGAAAAACATTCCAGTAGCAAAGGCAAATATATTTAAAGGTGTAAATGTTGCAAGAAAAGCAAATATCGCCAAATTAGCAAAAATCAATCCTGCTGAAATTAATAAACCACCTGAGATCCCCTCCAATATAGCTCCCCTCTTCTCTCGATGGTTTGTTATTAAACCTAAAAACGTTAAGATTTAAAGAGGAATTGAGTTTCTAATTGTTTCTCTTTTTAGTTTCCAAATTAAAAAATTAATGGAATAATCTCTCTAATTAAAATTAAAAAAATATTAAAAAAAACCTTTCTTTTTCGATATTTTCATTTTTTTCTTTAATTCTTTAAGTTTCAAAAAATTTCTGATTGCTTTCTTCAAAAAAGCTATGGGTTTTTTGAATGATGGTTTCTTAAAAATTTTTAGTGAACGTTTTGTTCTACTATGCTTTTCTGGCATTATTTTATTGTTTTTCTTTCCATTTTTCCTCATTTTTCTTTTTAAATATTTTTCTTCTTCTTTTAAAATTTCTTTAAAAATTTTATTTTTTCTCAATTTTTTCTCCATTTTTTCTTCAATAGATTCACAATTTTTAACAGAATTAGGGTCATTAAAGTTTAATTGATCACAACAATTTTTAATATTTTCTTTTTCTTCTTTTCCAATATTTTTAATTATTTTTAAAATAAATTTTCTTTTTAAATTTTTAAAAAATTTAATTCCTTTTTTGAAAAATTTTTGTTTTTTTGTTTTTGTTTTTAATTGACTACACAAACTTAATAAACTGGCAAAAGCTTCATTTATGTTTTCCTCTGTATTTTGATTTTTTGGATTTGGTAATACAGGGATTTTTTCTTCTGAAAAAAATTTGTTAAAGTAAATTTAGTAAGGGGTTCCCTTTTTATTTTAGTCTTTTTGAAAGAATTAAAATTATTAGGTGAACAAAACTTTTAGATTAATGCTGAAGATTTATTATTGCGAGTTAACCCTCTCTGCTATTCATATGTCATGTAGGAGGATTAAGGGTAGCAGTCCAATGTAAAGCGATGTACCGCTGCCCAATGTACCACCAGAGAGAGGAAAAAGATCAAGCATATCTTATGGTTAGGGTTGTCGGTTTCAAACTAAACTGAATTGAAAACCCGAAGATTTTCGGTTCAGTTAGCCGAAGAATTTGATGAAACCTACAATCTTACTTATGATATAGAGAAGGCCGTTTACTCCTGTTTTGCCCAAAATTATTTCCCTTTATCGTTCTTGAATACATTTTTTTATTTTTCTAAATTTCGAAAAAAGGTTTTTATTAGAGTTAATTTAAAAATTTAAATTAAGTTTACTCGTTAATTCCTCATTTTTTGATTTATTTTTAAAGCCCAACCAATTGAACCAAGTTTTTGATTCTTTTGAGGATTTAACTAAATTTTCAGATATTAAAAATTATTAAACTAAATATTTTTAAACCTTTTGTTGTATTTTCAACACAAATAAAGTAAATATTTAAAATTATAAAATAAATAAATAAACGCCAATGGCGCATAATATTAATAAATTAATTTATTTAAAAATAATTTTCTTGAATTTTTAAAATATCCTAAATGGAAGGAAATGTTTTTTATTCAGAGAAAAGATAATACATATATATCCCCTAATACCTATTTTAAATAGTAACAGATTTATTGTTTGTTTTTTTCGTGTCAGACTAATTGGGGAAGGGCAGTACTATGTATTTGAGAAAATACGGTAATAATTTTTAGAATTAAATATTTTCTTTGGAATATATTTTTATTTTAAAATTTATTTTGAAATATTTATTTATTTTAGAATTAATAAAAAGGAAGAGAATAAAAAGTCAAATGATATAGCCAATATATGGCATGCGCTTTGATTAATTGACTTGCACTTTTAACATCAAAGAAATCAATTAAAAATATTTTAATTTAATAAAAATTAAAGAAATATGTAAGGGGGGGGGGAGTCTTGACTGGAGATGAGCAAATTCAAAACTTGTAAAGAACAGAAATTTTAGTTAATTATTTTTTATTAAGATTGTATATTATCTTTTGAATGATATAACGTTGCTTAAGATTTGATTACAACCCAAAAAAGTTATATGGATGTAAACACCCCCCATTCTTTACTCGGAAAAAAAGTCTTGATTTAAAACATTTTTACCTATTTGTCTAAACGAGGATACAGTTAACTTATAGATATACTTCATACCAGATACATCTCTTTTTAATTTTTTTTTCCGACCTTAGCGATATTTCCAATAATGGATGCACTCGATTTTAAACACAATTTTTCAGCATATAGCTGCTGGTTTTAAAATATACATATTTTTGTTTAAATAAATGAAATATTTATTTACAAAAGAAAATAGAACTTTAAAAAAAAGTTTTTTTAGTTTTGATAATATAAATTGATTAATATAAGTGTTGACATTTGTGGATAAAAGAATGTTTGGTGCCTATCTAAAGTAGAAAACCCATGTAAACTATGAAATAATACAAACTCTAAATCCTTCCCCTCTAAATTATCCATTTCTAGAATCATTATCAGTTAGCCACAAATATCAATCACTAATTATATATATAAATGTACATAAATATATAATTGAGGTATTTTTTAAAAGAAATTTTCTAGAGAAATTAAAAAAATTTTCTATTTAAAAAATTATCTAAATTTTATCCAGAATTTTGTATCTTTAATTTCCCCAAAATGATAATTTTAAATAGAGGTTAAAAATAAAAATTTTTAAAAACCGCTAAACTAGCCAATTACAAATAATTAAAAAATATTTAATTTCTTAATAAAATTTTGGAAATTTTATTTTTCAAATTTGTGTTAGTTTAGCGTTTACCCGTTGCGGGTATAAATTTATGTTATAATATAAATATATTTTTTTGTTAAATATAAATAAAAAAATGCATAAAATATTTAATAAATAAACATCTTTTTTTTGTTTGGTTAACTAATTTTCTTCAACCCCATTCAATACCCTAATATGTATGTACATTTAAATTTTAAAAATTTTTAAAAGGAGTTTTTGCATTTTTGTTAAACGTTTGGAAAGTAATTTTGGTTGAAAGGTAGAGGAAATATATTGAAAACGAGAAGGAGATAAAACAAATCAGAGACGAATAAAGTTAAAAATCAAGGAAAAGGGAATGTTAAAAGATTAATTTTGTATATTTGGAAACAGTTTTAATTCTAAATGTCATAACGGAAATAAATCTGGCTAGTATTAAAAAGCTTAAAAGTTTAGCTTTTTAATACTAATTTTGCCTAATACTTACTTTATTGTTTTCATAATTCGATAAATACTTATTTGTGGATATTGGGTGTAATCAAATATATGTTAGAATTTAAACTTTACACAAATGTAAAAAGTGTATCCATTGTAGAAGGGGGGGGGGGGGGGGGGGGTGTTTAAAAATGAAAGAGTTTTTTAGTTGGGGGGGGGGGGGTTATAATATATACAATTGTTTACTTCCTTTGTACATACTTCCTTTTAATCATCCTCTTCAATAATATCAATAATTGTCTCGCTTCGGTTTCTAACAGTTTTGACTCGTCTAGTTCTAACTTTTTTAGATTTGCGAATTTCCTTACGAGAACTACGGCTAGATGAACGTCTAGAAGAATGTGAACGTCTATGTTTGACAATCCTTTTTTCTTCGTGTTTAACCAAATTTCCTTTACTGTCCTTTTTGTGATAATAATGCCCTTCTTTTTCATAACTTTCACCTCTATCCTTCTTCTCCAATTTTCTAATAGCATATAAACAAACCCAGGCTATCCCTCCAAAAAACGCTGCCCCAGCAAATCCAATTATAAAACCTGGAGTTACTATTAAAGGTAACAGAATAGAAAGACCAATAACAATTGAAATTATTCCACCTGCAGCAAGCAAAGGAATAAAAAAATATTTTGTTAATGCTCCTCGTTTTGTACGAACATTTCCTTTGAGAATTAAAAATTTTTTAAATTTAATTTTTAAAAATATAATAAAATCTTTTTTGTTCCAACTAAAATAAATAGATATGTTTTTTAAACATATATCTGCGTTTATTTAATTCTTAATACTCCCCAATATGTCGGATCGGAATCCCGACTTCAATTTTTTTAATTTCCGCTTTTTGGTTTATATAGGCTAGTTCCGATTTCCGACTTCCTATTTCTAACATATCTACTAGTTTCCAAGAAATAATCCTTCGGACATATTTCCTTCTAAAAAACTTTTTTTTGCCAAGTTTGTGGTTTGGTTTCAAACACTTTTGTTTTCGGGATCCATAGATACTTGGTTAGGCACATTGTTCCGCCAACAGATTATAATAAAAATATTTTACCTGGACTTTTTGTATCCTTGTTATAATAAGTTTTAAGTTCTTTATAAATTCCAATTGCTTTCATCAGGGCTTTCTCGGTTTTTGATTTCTTTTTTTTATTTTTTCCTTCTCCTGAATATTTTAAAAATGTCTTATCATTCTCAATTTTCTCCATTCCTTCATTAAAAATACTTCTACAATCCTCTAAAGATTCTGGATTATCATTTATTTTTCCACAACATTTTTCAAGTTTTACTTTATACTCCTTCGGTATAACTTTTAAAACTTTCGACATAAAATTTAATTTTGGTATTTTAAGTTTTTTAGGGATTTTAAATCCTTTTCCTTTCCCTTTTCCTTCTCCCTTTATTGGCTTTTTGTCAATTTTTGATTGAGCACACAATGATTTAATTTTTTTAAAAGTTTTATTCAAATTCTCGTCTGGGTTTGTGCTTGATTTTAAATCCACGTTTGGTTCAACTGAAATTTTTTGTAAATATTAGGGAATGCTTTTTTCTAGGGATACTGCCATTCCGATTAGGATATCAAAAAATTTATTTCTTATGTCGGCAAAATCCCTAGTTTTTACATGGACTCTTTATTGTGCTTTCCTTCCTCCACATTTTAAAATATGTATTGAGGACCTCCCTGGTTCCCTAATAACTTGGGGTTAAAAGAATATTCGCAACATTAATATACATAGACAGATAACATTTAGTCATTTTTTGTATTCTAATCTTGAAGTGTTAAAATTTTAATTTTTATGTTCTGACAAGATAAATTATCGGATTTTTTGCCCAACAATAAACCAAAAAATATCACGGATTTTACTATAACTGTGTTCACCGAACATCTAAAAGTCATACGTTTAGTTTCTGCTTCCAATTTCAATTCCTTTGGTTTCACTTCATCAATTTTCTGTTTTTCAAACTTGCCATCAACTAAAATTTCAAAAAATTCTAAAAACAAATATTCCCTACTACCTTTTAAAGTTTCAACACAAATAAAGTAAACATTTAAAAGTGTAAAATAAATAAGGAGTCGCCAAAGGCGCATAATAAAATGATTTTTTGATTTGTTTAAAGAGGTTGTTGGTTGTTATCTTAAAAATGTAAAGGATGTAGAAAAGAAATTTTTTGTTAAAATAATAAATTCTGATAAGAAAAAATTCTAAATTATAGGGCATTTAGTTTTAGGCATAATAGATTTTTCTATCACACAAAAAATACAGAAATGTCTCATCCTAACTAAAAGAGGTTTAGTCCTAAAAATTTGTTACTTATCGGTTATCCCCTGGCAACTAATTTTACCATCTATACCGATAACTAATATCTCATGGCTTAGAACTGGTACCTCGATGTTCGGGTACTTATGTGGTCGGGTACCTATATATTTAGGATAAGAAGTCAAAAATTTTTCTTTAACAAAAACTTTGGCATAAATTTTTAAAATAAGATTAAATTAGCGACTAATCCCTGCTTCCCCTTCACTCTCCTTCCCTATATTTTTAAAGTTAAATTTTTCCTAATTTAATTTTTATTTTAGAATTTAATTTATTTTAAAAGTTTTTTTTAAATTTTATTTAAATTAAATATGTAAGATGGCAAGCAAGAATTAAAAAAAATTTTTATTGAATGAAGGAGAGAGGGAAATTTATTTTCCTCTCTATCCCTATACAATGAATGCCCACATTCTCTGCCCATAAAAAAATCAAATTATTGAATTTTTTTAATTTTAAAGAAAAAATCAATCAACTCCTCGTGGGAAGGGCAAGAATTAAATTTTAAATAAAATTTTTTAATTAAAAATTAAAAAGTTTTAATTTAATAATTTGGAGTTAAAATAAAAATAAATTAGATTATCTAAACAAAAATAAGTTGGAAAAATTAAAAAGTTTTTTGGAACTTAAAAAAAATTTCCTGTTAAAATATTCAAAATTAAAATTTAATAAAATAATTAAAACCAGACGTCTTATTACACGTTACTCTATTTATATATTGATTCTCTAATTAATAATTCTAGACATTTAAATTCTATTGTCTGGAAATATATCGGAGATTGGGACCTGTCAAATTTTAAAAATCAAAATATGGGAGATGGAAGTATGGGAATAGACTGGGAGTGTTTGGCAATAAAGTTAGTTAATAACTTTAAAAAATTAATTTGAAAAGTTTTTTTAATTGAATGGCTGGAGTCCTTATTTTTATGTGTTCGTTCAACAAAAAGTTGAGAATTTTAAAAATAATTATTTTCTTTTAAATTCCAAAAACAAAATAAATTTTTAAATTTATTCGACAAATAATTAATATTTTAATTTTTGGAGTATTTTTTATTTGTGGTTATATATTTACGGAAGGAAAAAAGCAAATTTAAATATACACGTAAATTTAGAAAAAAATATTTTAATTAAAAAAAAGTTGCTCGAAATGTTAAAAATTCTTTGGGGAAATTAAAAATAATTAATTTAAATTTTTATGTTCAAAAATTATTTTTTAAAATCCTTTTGAATTTACTAGTTCGATGGTTTTGAATTTTTAAACATCTTTCTATATTCGTTTCCAAATAAATAATATTTTTAAAAATAGCGATAAATAAAATATTTGTTAATTTAATAATTTTTTTGAAAAATTTTTGAACATAAAAAATAATAATATTTAAAAAAATAAAGGGAAACAAAACAAAATATTAAAAAATATTTATATGTATGAACAGACAGGCCTTTTAAAAATTAAAATATATAAAGATTGAAATTTATTAGACAAATAATTTTAAAAAACAATTTTTGGTTAAAACAAAAACTGACCAAAAAATACAAAAAAAACATATATAGCTAAAAATGTTTAAAAAAATTAAAATAATTTTTAAAACAAATTTCAATCTCTATAAATATATATTTGTGCATTTAATGTGCAAAAATCAAGTAAATGAAGGGGCGAAAACCCAGTCCAAATTGGGGAAAGAAATAATTAAAAAGGAAAGAAAAATTAAAATAATTAAAATAAAATAAATAATTTAAATATATAATTATGAGGTTAAAAATAAAATAAAGAAAAAATATTAAAAAAGAAAAAGAGGAAGAAAACACACTCGAATAAATCTTGGAATTGGGGTTTCGCTCGATTCATTTTCGATTTATTGTGGTTAAAAAAGAATAAATTTATTAAAAAAAGATTAGTGACCAGAATTAGAATAGGTATTCAAATGTAGAGGATATTTAAAAAACAAATAATTATTATTTAATACAAGGGATAGGTACTTAATTTAAAATTAAAATCAAATTTCTGGTCACCAAAAATGAATTTAAAAAATAAATAGAAAAAAAGTGTGATTATTTTGGGGAATTTTTGGATTTTTTTTTGAAAAAAAATTTTTGGAAAAATATTTTCAAAAAAGAGATGAGAGGGAAAGTCCTCATTTTTAATTAAAAAAATGGAAATAGAAAATTGAAAAATAATTAAATGAGGAGATTCATTCGGTTGATTAGACTCGGCGATGTTTTTCAGATTTTGTTTCAAAACTCAGTTAAAAAAATAACTGATTATGTGGTAATTATTAAATAAAAAGAGGAAAAAAAAATTAAATTTAATTTTAAAATTAATTTAAAAAATTATCAGTGAATTTTATAAGAAAATTTGAATTTTTAAATATTAACAGAAATTTTGGGAATTTTTATTAAATTAATTTTTTTCCTCTTTTTTTTAAACAAAAAAATAATAATTTAAAAGAAAATTCTAAATACCTAAATTTAAATTAATTCTAAATTTTTGAAAAAAAAATATTTTTTAATTAAAAAAGTGTAGAAGTTGTTGTTGTTGCAGTAACAATACATTCTCTATAGAAAATTAAATTAAATTCATCGAAACTTCGACCTTTTTGTTTTTCTTCCATTTTACAAAGTCCTGTTGAATGACCGATTCGGAATCTAAAATTGAAGAAAAATTTTTTAAATTTGTTTTTGTCAAAAAATTTTTGTCAAAAATCAAACCAAAGAAATAATTAAATAATTAATTATTTTTTTGATTATTTTTATTTAATTATTCTTATTTTATAATTTTTTAAAATTTTTTAAATAAAATTTAAAAATTACTTATAAGCACTTTGTAAAAATGACCCCGCAGAAATTTCAAAAATATTATTAATTCCAATCTATAAATAAATAAATTTATTTATTTTTATTTTCTAAAAAACTTTTTGTGAACGAGGTTTTGATTTAATATTTTTCCCTCCTCCCCCTTCATTAATTAATTCTTCCTCTTCTTCAATTAATTGTTCATTTTGATTAAAATCGTTTTTATTTAAATAATTATTACATTCTTTAAAACGAAAACCAGAAAGTGAACCACAACTTTCCACAAAAAAGGAAGGATCGGCAGAACTAAAAAATTGAAAAAATATTTTTATTAAATAAATCTGGCAAAGTTCTTTCTCAGCCTATCAGATAAAGCTAAAATGAAAAGTTGTGCGGGTAAACCATCCAATCAAAGACCATGCTCAGGATTAGAGTTGCCATTTTCGAGTCGGGTCTATACGAGTCTTTTTCGGCCAAAAATCTTAGGCCCGACTCGATCTTTCGGTCCGTGTCGGTCCATTTTGGTAACCACACTCATGATAAAGTTCTATCAAATTATTTGCTGTTTTTTGTGGGTGGATTCGGTTACTTTACTATTAGGCCTGATCTCTATTTTATTCAACCCCTTTTTACATTAAAAAATTATTTTAAATTTAAAATAATTAATTTACTTTATTTTTAATCTGAGGGGAGCAGTTGTTAAATCAGAAGAAATTGGAATATAAAGATTATAACGCCCAATTCTCGAATTACAACTATTTAATGTATTACATAAATTATTTGAATTGTTCTGACAATTTTGTTGTAATAAACAATAATTTTTATCCAAAATAATTCCCAAATTTAAAATCTCTATTTTAACACCATTCTCGAAATTAAGGTTTGGTAATGTGTTTTTATTATTCTAAAAATTTAAAATTAATTTAAAAAATTTTTTCTAAATTAATTACTTGTAGTAATGCTTGTATTTGTTTATCTATCAATTTACTTTCAGAATTTTCTGAATTTTTGGAAATTGGACAACAATTGTTTTGACAATTTGGTTTTGTTGTTGGACCTTTAATTGTGAAAAAATAATATTTAATTTTAAGGTGATTATGCAAGTTATTAAACTTTTTGAACGAGGGGAGATTGGAAGATGATTAAAAACAAACAAAAAAATGTGTTTGTCTTAATTAAATCTCCTTAAAAGCTTGATGATAATGTTTAGAAACAGACATTATCTACATCTTAATTGCTAAATGAAGGCGAACCCCCACCCTCCCCCCATAATTATTAAACACGGGAGGAAATAGAAGGAAGATAACTAAGAAATGGAAACTTATTTGGACCCTATAGAAAGAGGACTAGTTTATTATCTATATTCTACTAATTATAAAAGATTTTATAAAATTACCAGAAATAAAAGGATTGTTTTTATCAAAATTTGTTGAGCAATATTGCAAAGAAATGGGTAGAATATTTGATTGTAAAGGTGGTATCCAATCAGAATCTAAAAGACCCCTCATTTTGCCTGGTGGAGGGGGTCTATCGATATCTGAAGGAATTGGTTGAGAATCTGTAGGTTTTTGGTGTTTTTGTTGTTTTTCCGTTCCTTCTCCCATATAAGGGTGGTAATGATGAAAGTGAGGGGACAAGTAGGTACGATTATACCAGTCAACGACATACAAAGTACACATAGTTACCAAACTGAAAAAAATATAAAAGTTAAGCAAAAATCAGCAAAATTTGTCCGCAAAATTAAAATAATTTTTGCGGACAATTTCTGAAGTAAACTAATTAACGATTCAAAAATCCCTACCAAAGTGCCATAATTACAACCAACGTAACAATAGTTCCCTGAGTAAATTTTGAATTGCAAAGAGCTGCTTCTTGCCCGCGACAATAAACTTGTTGCCTTCCACAATAAGCAGAAGCTGAAGAATGAGAACGACAACGATGTTTTCGAGGAGGAGATGGGGGTGGTGGAAGAGATGACTTTTTATCACGTTTTCCAAAATTTCTTGAGCCTAAAAAATTTGGTGAAAAATTTTAAATATTTTTCTACAAAATTTACTATTTCTTGATCTATTCTTTGAAGATTTATCTTTAATTTCGTCTTCATTTCCATCTCTAAAAGCAATAGCTGGTGCAGTTGCTGCTGAAGTTAAAGAAGTTCTTGATTGTGAAAGACTTTTGTCTTCAAAATTATTTTGGAGATTTTTTGAAGAAAAATTTTGTCCAGGAAATAGAGAAGAGAAATCACTCAATCCAGAAGCCATTGAACCTAACTGGCGGCGTTTCCTTGCATATTGAGCAAGTTTGTGGGAAATACGTTCAACTTGGCCGATTTTACATTCCAAATTGCCTGGATAAAGAATAATTTTAAGAGGAAAAATTATGGATTAGTATGTGATTATAGAATGATTAATTAAATGAAGATGAGTGTTAATAATTAAAGTTAGACAGAGAAATCATGAATTTGAACTTTAACTCAGTCCTAATATTTTTTCCTTTGTTCCCCGAACCTCATAAGAAACCCAAAGCCCACCCCGATCCCATAAACAAATTTAAAACTTCGACACAGAGATACCGAGCCACCCCAGAACGCTTGGAGTGTAAAACTAGGAGTGCAATTTTAATCACAACTCATAACAAAAATTCTTAAAAACAAACCAGTCAAACGATAAAGTTCCTGAGCAGCAGCCACAGTATCATAAAATATTCTCGTATCATCAACAGTCAAAAAGTCGCCATTATCCTTAACTGCCTCAGGCAATACTTCTGCCAATTCTTGTGCTATAACTCCAACTCTGTGTCTATCCCTTTCAGAAAGTCCCCAACGTGCAGCTATTTCTGGTTTATAAGCAAATTCGACAAGTCTCATTTGTGCAACTCTCCCCATTGCCTCAGCAGTACTTATCTCTTCAATATCTTCTTTTAAACGTTTATCTGATGGTCGAGTGATCTGTCCACTTGCAGCAATGTTTCCATGAACAGTTAATTGAGCATCTCCAATTGGTTTATCACTTCCAATACAAACAGGTCCAGAGAAGGTTAAAGCCCCGTTTTGGTTTTTCCATGATTGGTCTGATTCTGGCTGTTCGAATTGACCCGGATTGGAGGCCTTTAAAAGTAAAGAATTAATTTTGAAAGAATCCTCCAAAAATAAATTCCCCTACCCTAACAATAACTCTGTCAGAATGAAATGATTGAACAAGTACTTTCCTTGTTTCATCTCCAATAGCTGTTTCTACACTTAATTTCTGAAAAAATATTATTTTTTGTTGAATTTTTTAAAATTAATTCACCATAACAAGTAAAAAGAATTTTTGTTCAGGATTAGGTTTCCCATTTTTTCGGTGATTATTCATTGTTGTCTCCGAGAAATGAAGACGAGGAACTGTTTGCTTTACTGAATCTTGAGTTCCATCAATCGAAAAACTTTAAAGAAAATTATTGAATTATTAGTATATGTTCAGAAGACTTATCACACTGATCTTTATGATATCCCAAATATCGGACGGGATAAAAGAAGAATTAGGATATGTGAGAATGTGGAATGAATTAAATGGGGAAGTGAAAGGAAGGTGTAGGATAAGTAAGAATATTGAATAGGTTTGCCGTTTCGGTTCGAGCCGACTTCGGTGCATTTTTTTCGAGCTTGGTTTTTTCGATTCGGTTCGTTTTCGAGCTGAAAAGCTTTAGCTCGTTCGATCTTTCGAGTTCGGTTCGAGCGAGCTGGCAACCCTAATATTAAATAATTTTTTGTAAAAAATTTTACCAAACAGGCATATGATCAATTGGTTTTCTGTCAGTTTGAGATTGTTTTATTGGAATCTCGTAAGTTTGCATATCACTTTTAACACCACAAAAGGATAAATAGAATTTCTGTAAAAATATTAAGTATTAAATAAGGAATAATATTTAGAGTTGAACATCCCTACTAGATCAACTTTATTTTAAGCTACGTTTAGAAAAGTTTCTGGAAAATGGCTGGAGAAGCTGACTAAATAAACCTCATAACTTCACTATGAAATAAAAACATTTTCAACCATAAGGGTGTATTTTTTAGTAAGTTCTGTTGAAAATTAAAAAATTATTTGATTACTTTATCAACAATGGGTAACAAAACAACACGGCCGTGTAATTCCGTCCGCACATAATGAGGTGCAAATTGGTGTTGAAGTGTTTGTTGTCCATTCCCCATTTGGGGGGAATTAGCATTAGCCATTGGATTAACCCCGATATTAACCGTTATTTGAAAATGATTTTTCTTTTGATTAACAAAACAGTTATCTGAAGGGCTAAAATTAAAGCCTTTGTCTGCTACAACAACAACTAGAAAAGGGAAAATCAAAAAATTAATTTCAATATACAAACTTGGCATAATTGGAAGTGGTTGCTGGTTAATATCAAATAAAGTAGCCCAAGATTCTCTCAAAAATGGTTCAAACTTTAAATTAAAAAATTTTAAAAATTATTTTCTTTTAATAAAGGAAAATACTTTAATAGTTCTCTGTGTTCCCCCAAAATTATTATCTTCCAAATCTTCAAAGCTTTGTTGTTGTTGCTGTTGGTGGTGAAAAATATTTTGGCGTTGTTGATGCTCCTAATTTTTTTTATTAAAAATTATTTAGCAATTAAAAAAATATTTTTATTTAATTTCAAATAAATTTTGAGAAATATTTTTGAATGGAGATTTTTAATTTTTAATCCCATTTACCTGTTGTTGATTATTAACAGTTCCATATTCACATTTTATGTTAGGTAAATTATTGCTTTTACTCAACAACATCGAATCATTTGAACTAAAATTATCAATTTAGATTTATTTTAAATAACTTGAATAACTAAAAGTAAATTAGAAACAATTGCCTAAACTCCGAATGATTAAAGTTAGTCAATACCCAAATATTATTAAGCTTATTCAGCATTTAATTAGAAAATTAACTCAATTAATTTTCAAAAAACTTATATTTTCTACCTTTGATTAGTCGAAATTCTCCTTCTTTTATGTCCACCTCCACGATTGTTCTGTTGTTGCTGTTGTTCTTGTACATAACGATTAGAAGATGAAGCTGAATTTTGATTTTCGATAATACATAAATTATCCATTGAAGAGGAAAAAGAATGTTGTTGTTGTTGTTGTAATAAATAATTATTATTGTTATTATTATTAATCATTATTTGTCCATTACGTGAAGATGAATTTGGAATTGCTGGTGGGGAAATCTAAAAAATAAAATTTTAAGTTTGTAAAGAAGTGTAGCTGAAAGTTTGATAAAATTATTTTGAAAAAAGTAAAGAACAAGGTAGAGAATGCATTAAACGAAGAAATGTTCTCATAATTAAAATTAAAATATTAAGCTATAAATTAGACGGGACATGCCCAAGTAGGCGCGCGGCCATAACGGCGCAAAGCCATAACCTGCTGGAACATTTCTGGCTCTTATCAATTTTGGTACCAATCTCATTAGCTCGATGAGAGGAATCTTTAAACTAAATTTGGTAAGATTTGGAAATCTTGAAGCAAATTATGGCTTTGCGCCCTTGGGCTATACCCAAATTAGGCAATTTATGACTATTGTTTAACTAACAAGATAGTTTACTTAATGTTGTTAATAATTAGGGAAGTTTTGGTTGAATTAAGAAAGTTAAAACGGAGGCACTGATAATGGAAAAGTAAATTCTCACAAGTAAAATTAAAATAAATTTAAAATTTAGTTGAATTAATATATGATTAAGAGCTCTTAATATTTTAAAAAATAATATAAGCAACACCTGTGAAGAATGTTGTGAACCAGGTGTATGTTGAGAAGATGCTGAATAATGTGTCAGAAATTCAGATTGTGGGGACAAATGATGTACTTCTGAAGTTGCACTACAAACATCTGTAATGTTTGTTGTTGTCATGTGTAGTTGGTCAACAATTAAAATATCTTCCGGAGGTTTTCTTTGGGTTTGAGGACGATTAAAATTTTGGGGGAGGTGTTGACGATATTGTTGGTGTTGTTGTAATAAAATGTTAGCTGCATTATTCATATGTGGAGCTATTGGTAGATAACGTTGATCAGGAGAGAAAGGACTTTCTGAGTCACAACAGCCACCTTTTTTTTGAAAAAGAGGGGGAGATTATTTAATTATTGCGAAGGAATTTTTAATATGAGATAAATAAAAAAAACTTGAAGGTTACTAATTTAATAATAAAAAATATAAAAATATTTTGGATTGAATTTTTCATAAAATATTTTTTAAAGATAGCCCTTATATTTTTGACAAGAAAACAAACTAAACCAGAACTTCCTGGAGAAATAGAACTTGCACCACCAGAAATATCAGTAATTGGAGGGCTATCAGGTAAACGTGTTTGACCCCCTCCAGTATTATTCCCAACTCTTCCCCCAATATTTCTTTGATTATTTAAATAATGTTGCTGTTGTTGTTGATTATTTAAATGTCTACTATTAGAATTATTATTAATTCCAGCCCCTCCTCCATTATTATTATAAAAAATCATTGAAGATCCAACAGAATCTAACAAAATTGAAGGATGTCGAAAATGAATATTTTGAGAATTTGTTGAATTTATTTCTTTAGAAAATTGGTGAGTATTTTGTTGTTGTTGCTGTTCTTGTTGCTGTAATGATTGGACAAATTCCCCTGCTGCTGTAGTTGAAGGGTTAAGAAAATTTAAATGTCCAGAATTGCCAACAACTGTATTATTGTTTGGAACTACAACACTATAGAAGGCGTTAACTGGACTTCCTTCTGGTGTTCTAAAATTTCTAAAATAATGATTCTGTTAGAATAACCCTTTAATTGAAATATTTTTAATGAGTGTAAAAGGATTGTTTTTAAAAAATATTTTGAGTATTCTAAAACCGTCCCAATAACTTCGTATTTTTCCTTAATTTAGCTAAAGAATACTATAATTCTTACTCGTTTCCGCCGTTTATGTAATCTAAAATATCGAAGTTGTCGTTGTTAATCAAAGGATCACCAAAGCCTGACTCTTCTAAAAATTAGATTTTATATAAAATGGAAAATTAAAAAAATTAAATGTTTAAAAAACTATTTTCTAAACTTGTCCATTTAAAGGGTAATAAAGGTTTTGAACATATTTAATTATCTTTTTAAGGTATAATATTCCAGAATTGAAAAAATAATTTTTTCCTATTTATGTTAATTAATCAAATAAGGTAAATCTAAATATTGAAATCTAAATAGGTATTTAATCTACCTAAAAGGAAATATCCTTATTTTTTAAATGATTATAAAAAAGATAGAAATTTAATTAATCGAAGACCTTATTTTTACAAAAAATTAATTTAAATTAAACAAAATCTCTACTTAAATTAATTACCAGTTTTTGTTAAAAATTTAGCCATTAAAGAAAATAAATTAAGATTTTTGGCATTTGAAGGGGAAAATTGTGTTGAATTTTAAATATAATTTGTGGAAAAAAATTGAAAAATATTTTTAAAAATGCTGGGAATAAAAAAATAAATTTTTAGAAAATTAAAATAAATTATTTAATTTTAATTTAAAAATTAAAATGTCAACAATTTTATATTTTAAATAATTATTAATTAAAGTATTTAAAAATTAATACTTGGTAATCTCCAAGTATATTTTTATATTAATTTATGTAAAAAAATTCAAAAAATAAAGGATGTTAAGTGAGGATAAATAAGTATTTTTAATTTTAATGAATTTTTATTAAACTTATTTAAATTAAAGTCGAAAAATGTAAGGACTAATTGTATAAGAAAATTGCTTTTAAATCACAGTTTTACATGAAAAATCTTCCAAATAAAAATGATAAGAAAAATTTTTTTTATTTTTAAAAACAAATTAAGCAAAATTTACAAAAATATTAGAGAAAATATGCATTAAAAATAAATCCTTTCAGACAAATAAAATACAAAAATTCGATAATTTTTGTGTGGAAGGAAAAAGATGATTATTGAGGGGAAGGATAGAAAAAAGGGAGAGAAGAAAGGAAGACTTGCGCAGCTTTACATAGTTGTGATCATTCAAAAATAAAAAAAGAAAAAAGGCAAAAATAAATTGCACAGTCTGATTTAAAAGATATATTGAAGAAAAGGAAGGGAAAGGAGAAGGAAGGATAATGGAAGGGAGGGAGGATATTTAAAAAAAGGAGGAGGAGGGAGGAGGGGGGGGGGAGGAGCTTTTTGGTCAAATGATTGTGTGTTTTGTTATGAAGGTCACTCTCAATTCTGTTTAGGTCCTTCCCCAAAAACCTTTTTTCTTCTTTTTTTCCTCTCGAGACGACCTTCAACGAGAACCTCTAAAAGAGAAGAGAGGGAAGGAAGAAGCTTTTATTATTATCTTTATTTTCTATGGCAAGTGTTTTGAAGAAAAAAAAGAAAATTTTTGGGGGCTTGGAAAAATTTTGTGTGGAAAAATGAAAAATAATTTTAATTATTTAAAAAATTTAATTTTCTTTTGCAAAATACAAAAGTATCAAAATAAAAGAAGAAAATAAAGAATCTTTACAAAATGGAATTGGCCACAATTTTATTATACAAAATTATTTTTTAAAAATTTTAGCAAACAAAAAAAAATTAGAAGAGGTTTTATTTGTATTGAGTAGATGAGGAAGAATGAAAAGTAGTAAACAGAGGTGAAATTATTGGGAAGATGAGGAAAGTTGTACATAATTTAAATAAAAAATAAAAATGATGGAATAAAAACAAGTTAAAAAATCCAAAAAAGCTAAAAGAATAAAGTATCCCAAGTATATCCAAGAGTATTTAAAAATAGGGAATATTCACAAAATTTTATTTAAAAAATATTTTTTAAATCGCAAAATAAATAAACTATACGTATTTTAAAGAATGACCAACTAAGTACACATTTAAAAACAATTTTTTATTTTTTTCTCTCTCATTTTTCGTTATCTTTCCTTTTTTCTAAGCCAACAAACAAAATATAAAATGTTTTTATATCCCCTCTGTTATTTTTAACCCCTCAACATTTTTGTTGGGAAATAGCAGCAATTCTCGTTGCTCTCCGGCCTTGGTCATTCTTTACTTTACATTTTTATTTCTTCCCCCGTACCAGTCACAGCCAACCACAAAAATAAAATACATACACAAATAGACTTATACTTCCCCCTTCCCTCCCTTCACAAACCGACCGATGGCCGAGAAAAGCAAAAGCCCACAAATGGCATTAAAAAAGGGAAGAAATCAATGATGGGTTGAAACAAAAATTAAAAAAAATTTGGCAGAAAATTGAAAAATATTGGTATCTTTCCGTTATGACACCTCCCCCTAATAAGAAAGGTGCTGAGTCGACCGAGTATAGGGCTCGAAATGGTCAAAAATCATAGGCTCAAATTTACCCTATATATGACATGTTGAGCGGAAAAGTACCAAAATATTTTAAAAGATTTTTAGCCTTAACTCGCAGTATTAATTAAAATTTTACTCTTGTAACAAGAAATTTAAAGAAAATATTTTTAAAAAATATTTTTAAATTATTAAGAAAAGAAATTATTTAGAGAATAACCCTTTTTAAATTTCTACATAATAGAGACTTTTCTATTTACTTTAAAAACTTTTCATTTCATTAACATCAATTTCACCTCGGAATTTCAATAGCCAATAGCCACTCCCGCTTAATCTAACAATAAAGTTTACATCAGCCTATATTCTTTTTTAATTAAGTAATTTTCCGGATTTCCGGTCAAATAATTTATAAGTAATATTTTTGCCTATTTCTTTTAATTTTGTCAAAACTTAGGTTTTTATTTTTTCTTTGCAAACTTCAAGTTAATTTATCATTTTTCAAAAATAATAATCACATAAAACTCAGAAATTCCTAAGAAGTCTTTACTAAACTAGTCCGTATGTATAGTAAAGGAAGTGAGGATGAAAAACGTCGTCCACTTTCACGTCTTAAATTTTAGAACTCGAGAGTTGAAGCAAAAACGAGATAATATATCCAATAATAATTCAATTTAAATGACCTTTTTTTGTTTGTTCGGAAGTACATATAATGAAAATAAAGAAAATATTTTGAAATTAAAAAGGGAAAAAAATATTTAAAATGCCCGAGAATTAAAAAAAGGGAAATTAAAAATGATGAATAGGCAAAATTGGGAAGAAAAATAAATGGGAGGAAGATGATGAATATTTATTTTTTTCTCACCTCCGAAGGAATAAAAAGGAAGTGAGAAGGATGAAAAAGCATTTTTTTGTTTTTATGGGCGGGAAGTTTTTTAAACAAAAAACAATAAAAAATATTTTGGAAATATCCAGTAATTTATTTTTAAGTAGATAAATGGGTTTAGAAATCCATTAGTGTTGTTTAGAATTTTTTTTAGAAATTTTTTTAGAAATCCATAAATCCATTCGGAGTTTAGATAGCACTATAGTGCACAAAAACTGATAATTACACTAATTTTAATAATGACTAGATTGGATATAACAATCCCAGCAGTAATAATCTTTAAAGTTTCTAGGAGGTCTAGGAGGTTTAATTTTTTAAAATAATTTTTTAAATTCAATAAAAGAAAAGTTTTTAAATTCCTTGTTAGTATTTAATAATACTTCCGGAACCCCCAACTTGCCAAAAAATATAAATAATCTCTGAAACTACAAATTATACCCATTTCTAGTAAAATTTTTCCCTCAAAAATTCTTTTGATTCCAATCTCTAAACAAAAAATTCTCTTCAATTCTCGACTTTCATCACAAAAATAAACTAAAATAAAAACAGTTCCTTTCATCTAAATATCCCCCTAGCACTGCCAGCCTAGTCATTTAAAGGTTAAATAGAGTATATTATTTTAATATTTACTTGACAAATTTGGGGAAAATATTTAACTTAACAATAAAATCAAGGCACCATTTAAGCTGAAATTTAAGATAAATTTAGACGTATTTCTAAATTTTTAAAGATTCCAGTGCTTACAAAAATGACGACAGCTTAAATTGAAATAGAAAATTCAGAGGAAAAATATTCAAAAATAATTAATAAACCTGATTTTTAAAATAATTTTTTTTAAATTTAAAATTCAATAAAAACCGGCCTTGTGCCCGTACATATTCGTAGGCATCTTCTAAAGTATCTGTTACAGCGGAGGATGAAGAAGAATTATTCATTGGAGGAATTTGATTATTTTTATTAATTTCCTTGTTGTTGGATGTTTGGTTATCCATAAATGATTATCATAATAAATATATTTTCTTTTTTTAATAAAAAATAATTTAAATATAAAAATGCTTAAAAATCTTGCTACAACTCCGAAAAGCGGAAGAATAAAAAACAAAAAAAAAGATGAAAAAATGCCTCACAAGTGTGGCCAAAAGTTTGTCAAAAAAAACAACGATTTTTTATCTTTTAGTATTACATATGTTTGTGTTTTATGTTTTTGCAAACAGAAAATAAATGAGTAAAAAATATAAAAAATTAAATAAAAAGATGGGAGTGTGAAGAGAAATAGTACGTTGAAAAAATAGTAAAGGGGGGGGGGGGATAGGGCCCTCACTGGGGGAGTAAGGCCCAGCCTAGCACGGCGCCAAACATTAAAGCTGATGAAAAAAAGAGAAAAAGAGAACACAACAAAAAAGAACGTTCGCTCGAAAAAACTTGCTGCCAGCCGATTTTAGAAAGGGAACTTTTGAGTATTGAAGAAGGAAATAAAAGAGCATTTTCTATCCAAAAATAGTTGGTAGTAGTCTAACAAAGAGCAAAACACAGTTGAAACGAAAGGGAAAGAACAATTGTGAGAACGGATAGAAAGAAACAAAAAACATATTTTTTTTACTGACAGCCATTGACTTGCAAAAAAATAAAAAACAAATGTGCTTAAAAATTGCGCAATATTTGGAAGAACCATCTTTAACTAATTCTTAAAAAATTACATTCCCAACTACAGATCGGTCTGGATTTTTCTGGATCCAGATTCGGAATCCTGCTCAGGTTACTAACCTAAATCCAGAATCCAAATCCAGGATTTTTGAAAATACCCCCAACTTGATGTAATAATTATAAGACCAATAAACTTTTGACCGTTAGTGTATTATTTTAAGGACAGACAATGTAAAATAATTTATAATACATATTAGGTATTTATAAATAAAATTATGTTTTATCCACAATTCCAAGGACCCTAAATTCTTTGTAAACTTTTCAATATAAAAAATAATAATTATCATTTTATTCATAATTTACACACATAAACATTAGGGTTTCACCGGAAGTTCCGGTTCCGGTTCCGGTTCCGGAAAGTTCCGGTGTTTTTTTGGTTCCGGTTCCGGGAACCGGAACTCAAATTGGTTCCGGTTCCGGTTCCGGCTCCGGTTTTCAAATCGGTTCCGGGCAAACCGGAACTTTTTTACACCCCTAAAGATTGATTTTTTCAAAAGTATGGGTTGGCCTTCCACGGCTGGCCTTGCAATATTCTCAAAATTTTCGCCTGCGGCGCCAGAGAAAGAAGAAATCTAGCTCCGTGTCCTCACAAATTCTCAAAATTTTTGCCTGCGGCGCCAGTAAATGAAGAAATCTGGCTTCCTGTTCCTTCTAAATCGTCAAAATTTTCGCCTGCGGCGCTGTAAAATGAAGTTGAATGGGTATATCGTAGAATGTGGATGGATGAAGTTGATTTTAGTTAAATCATGTATTTCAAAGGGTCATAGGTAATATCTAGGATTTGGGTATGATATTGAGGGATTGTGCTGTGCAAGGTAGATATATTAGGGATGAGATAGCTGGGGATTTGGCTTTCCAAAACTTGGAATTTCTCACTTGGCCTTCCGAAATTCACAAAATTTTCGCCTGCGGCGCTAAAAGGGAAGGAATAATAGGATAAAATTTATATCGGTGATTTGATATCTAGAGATCTGGTGGGATGAAGGATAACTTGAAGAAATTCGGGGAGCAAAGGGAATATCATATAATTGGTGTGGTATCGGGCATATCAGGAGATTTGGGTAGTTCGGTTCGGTTCGGTTCGGTTTTGGTTAACCGAAAGTGTTAGTCGTTTCGGTTAACGGAATAATTTGGTGAAACAGACAACCCTACTTTAAAATCAAATTTCTTTTAATATTTTTTTTAATTTTTTAATTTGCTAGCAAATTTTTTTAAAGTTCCGGTTCCGGTTCCGGCCCGGAACTTAGAAAAGTTCCGGTTCCGGTTCCGGGAACCGGAACTCAAATTGGATCCGGTTCCGGTTCCGGTCAAAATTTCGGTTCCGGTGAAACCCTAATAAACATGTTAGGATTTCAAACACAAAATAAACAATAAATAGGTGTATATGTATAATTTAATTATAAGACCAATAAACAAATAAATATTTGGTGGACAAGAGGAAAATATTTTTTCAAGTTTTTAGAGAGAAATAAATTTTTTTGGTGAGACAAGTTTTTTTAAAATAATTATTCAAGTTAAACACAGTTGAAACGATAAAAGAGCTATTTTTAAAATGCACCCAAATACCCCCAGCAATCATTCAAGCAATTATTTGGAAAGTTAGGATGCTGACACAATGCGCCTGTATAAATAAAAAAAATATTAAAATTTAATAAAAATTATAAAGTGATATGAAAGGGTTAAATGACCATTCCCACAGGTAAAAAAAACCATTACCCCGTTTAATAAGAATTTTGCTAAAAATTGTGGAAACTTTGACAACACTTTCCTCGCTGTCCAGGGTCTGAGGCGATCATTTAAGAATATTTTCATAGAAACAAACAAACCCAATATGGTCCATCGAAGTAGTGCAATTCCCATCAGAAACGACCATTCCACTACGCGAAACGTGAACTCGCTTAGCTCCACACTTAACATAAGCTTTCTCATCACTCTAAAAAAGAAAAACTTTTATGAAGTACTCTTTTATTTCTATAAACCTGAACTTCCATTTCAACATTAGACCCACGAAGATGGATAGTGGACTGACTTGGAGAACAAACAATTTGGCGAGGACGACAAAATACTTCAACATCACCATCAAGCTTCTGACGAATCAGAAAACCTGAAAATAATTTTTTTGCAAGTTTTTGGAATCTAAATGTAATTTTCTCAGTTTCATCCAGAAATTATTAAAGAATTAAATACTGCAAAATCTCACCATTAATACTGACACTAAATAACATGCCACTTTTCTCCTCATATCTTGCACGGTGAACAATATCATCGCAGGCATAAACTTTTGGAAGCTGAAATTTTAAACATTTTTATTTTCTAAAGTTTAAACGTTTTTACATATTCAGCCGAATCATTATAGGACCCAAAAACTTGCGAGTCAACATAAAATTGGCGCAAAGTATAATCATATCGCAACGATGGGAATTGAATACGATCCATAGAGAGAGCAGAAGTGCCACGAGCGGCAGCAGCCGAAACAAGAAAAGCATCTTTCAGATGAGACATGGAGAAAAGAACGCCTTGAGTACCAAGAATTGCCTTAAAGCGAGAAGTAGCTTTTCAAAAATCATTAACAAAAGTTACGAATTTAAACTAGGAAACTTAAACATTAAATTAAGAGTACAGCTCAAGTAGGCGCGCGGCTATAACGGCGCAAAGCCTTAACTTGGTTCAGGATTTCCGAATCTTACCAAATTTAGTATTAAACGATTCCTCTAATCGAGCTAAAGAGATTGGTACCAAGGTTGATAAGAGCCAGAAAATTTCCAGCCAGTTATGGCTTTGCGCCGTTATGGCCGTGCTCCTAATTGGGCGTGTCCCTTAAAATAACCCTTAATCCGATTCTAAACAGAAGAGAGCTTTAACAAAATTAAAAGATACCAACCATTTTCGCCAAATTCACAACAGATCCCTCTTGAGTATTAGCCAATCCATTATCATTAATCAATGGCATACCAATATTTCCAACCATAAAATCAGCAGGTACTTTAGGATGGTTACTCAGGTTCGTACGAATCCAATTGGTATCAGTATTCGGTTTTGGCAATCCAATGCCGCTTTTAGTTGGCGTCTCCAAATTAGTACTATCATTGCCAGGATCTGTTAAATTTTGAGGTAAAATATAGTTCGCCTCCCAAGAAAGCATAAAAAATAAACTCACAAAAATAACAGAACACTTTATCTTCCTCCTGAAGTATGTGCCCGAATGGATGGAGAATCCCAGACTTTGAGCCCTTATGAGTACTTGAGATCTGTTAATTGTAAACACATTTGAGAACATCAACAAATTTGAAAAAAATACCGCAAACTTATTCCAGCATACGACACGAATAGAACGATCCAAACTAATTTCAATATTCACATTATGCGCCATGGTGATTGAAATAGTCCCAAATGGTGTCACACAAACCTTCAAAACTTTCATTTAAATATATTCTCTAAATAAGTTACCAATGGATATTTCAACTTTTCGGTTGGCCCTTGCATAGTAGGCAAAGAGGCATTCGCAGTTGTAGTACTAGAGGTATTAAGCATTGTCGATTGGTAAATGCAATTAATTTTTAAGATTGTTAAAAAGTTTTAGCTGAAAGTTTTCTTGTTAAAAATTCCCTCCCCACAAATTTATTTTTGTATTTACATAAAAAAATTAACAACGAATCAGAAATAAAAAAGTTAATTTAATATCCTGTTTAACTGTTAATCATTTTATGCGCTAAAAATTACAACGGAAATCCGCTTTAATAAGTGAAAAAATTAAAAAATTGGAAGCTTAAAATAAAAAATACAGAATGCCAAACTCTTTGTGTAAAAATTATTTTTAAATTTAAATGAAGCAAAATTTTGAACAATTCGTTAGTTGTGTGAGTTTGTTTAAGTGTTAAAATTTATAATTATCACTGACTACATCCAGTTAGCAATCTTCCCAATGCCGACCTAAACCAAATTAAAAAACTAACGGATTAATAAAAATTTGCGGATCCGAATTTTGCGGATCTGAGATTTGCGGACCATTCCTAATTTCCCTTAACAATTATTTTTTCTTTTTTTTACAATCCTTAACAATAAAAAAATAGTGGGTGTGTAAATATTGTAATTTAATATAGGATATAAAAACAAAATCAACAATGTTAGAATTTCTTTTCAATTCATTAAAAACCTGACTAAATAGTGCAGTAAATATATAAAGACATGAAGGCCAAAACATTTACAATAATTTTTTCATTTAAATCTTTGTTTTGTCTTTATTTATGTATTAGAAAGTGAGCGTGGCTAGTGATGTAGTCTATTTATTTTGTATGAGGATTTCTTCAAAATCAAAATAAAATTAGACTTAACGAGACAATCATAATAAATTTCCATGGTTGTACCCAAACAAGATGTGAATCTTGTTTAGATATCTCAAGGTATATTAACATACTTCTCTTAAATTTTTAAAAGTTTTGAGTAAAGATTTAGTAAGATATTGTGTAGAAAGGCATTTTTCGAACGGATTTATACTATTTCCTAAAATATTTTAAGTATTCTGTACGAACTTTAAACTTTTCTGAATTTTAACATTACATTAATTACTCTAAACTTTAATGTCTACTGTGTATATCCATCCATTTAATAACATTCCACACAAATTTTCTTAACATTTTTATGTACTAATATCAAAAAATCTGTTCCATAAAATCAATAAATACAGAAGATCAGGCGAGGATTTGTATATAAGCTACTTTTTTGTGTAAACAAATGCCGATTTTCCTTCCACCCACTCGAAAAACGAGCAGCTAAAAAAATGAAAGGAAGGAGAAGGAATTTGGGGGATCTGTTAGGATTGAGGAAATCAACATGTTTAACATCACTTTACTGTTCTAAAGTTTTCTCATTTTCTTTATTTTTCGCTAAAATCCTTTGCGCATTAAAAGCAAATAAGTTAAGTTTAAACTTTAAATGTTGCCAAAAAATTATTTAAAAAATCAGATAAATTACTGTAATTTACACGATAGAATGAGTGTCCAATTTGGTAGTTCCTACAGTTATTCTACCTTAGATTTAAACATATTAATTGTTTTATTATTGCCTAATAATTTTATTTTTAAAAATTGTTCAGAGCAAATATTCAAAAATCACCCAAATCTCTCACTTAAAACCAGATCTAGGAAATGAATACACAAGGGAAATTTATTTACTAAATTATAACTATTTTTTTAAATTTTAAAGTTAAATTTTAAAAGTTAAAGATTTTTTTAATAAATTTATTTCAAATTTTTCTTAATTATTTACTATTTTTAATTTAAATATAAAAGGCAATGTCTGAAGAAGAATAGTTAGTTAAACAATTAATAAAAATAAATAAAAAAATATATTTTTTAAGTAGTGAAGAGGAAGAAGTTGAAGTTGATGAATATGTTGCTGAACAAGTTACAAAACCAACAGAAGAGTAAATAAATTAAAAATTTATTAAAAACTTTCTTACCAGAATAACCGGAAACTACTAAATTTGGGGAAAGAAATTTTATTTGTGAACACTTTCCTGATTTTTTTTATTATTTCTATAAAAATATTAGGACATTATAGGGTGAGTAAAACCCAAAAAAATTTCTAGTCAGAATAATTTGACACTAGTTTTTATTAAATCGCCATTTAAAGTCACGCAAAAAGAAGCCGTGAAAGAATTGACATACAAGATGGAGAAGAAAATATGACTGAAGCTGGAAAGGCTATGCTTGTAAATAAATAAATATTTTTTTATAAAAAAATTAAAAAATTTTAACTAAAAAGGCAGCCAAAAAACGGTTGGAGGAAGACGATGCTGCTAAACTACAAGATTATGAAGATCGTCGAAGATTAGAAAGGGAGAGAGAGGAAGAAGAATTGAGAATTTTAAAAGAAAAACAGGAACAAAGACGTCTTCAAAGAGAAGAGGAAGAAAGAGAACAAGAAGAGAGACGAAAAGCTGAAGAGGAAAGAAGAAAAGCGGAAGAGGTGAAGGAAAATATTTTTGGGGAAATTAAAAGGAAAATCAAAATTATTTAGGAAGAACGTAAAGCCAAATTAGAAGCTCAACGTAAGCAAAAAGAAGAAGAAAAGAAAAAACGTCAACAAATGATGGGGGGAGGAATGCCTTTTGCTGTTGGAACACGTTGGGGGATATTTAGATAATTTTTATTGAAAAAATATTTTTTAGCGACAGGAGGGCGTAATTTTATTTTGCCGGAGAAAAAGAAAGATCAAAGCGAGAAATTTGGGAATATTGTACAGGCTAAGCAGGTAATTTTATGTGTGGGGTAGGGGAGGGAGAATGAAGAATGAGAGGTATTATGAGAATGAAGGAGATGAACTGAAAAATATTCAAAATTAAGAAATTGTCCGAAATGCCAAAAAATAAAAATCAGTTATTATGTTGAAAAGCAATATGTAGTTGAGCGAATATTTTTCTAAATATTCTGGTACTTTGTTCATATGCCGCCCCCCACCCCTATTTGAGTCTCAGATTATTTTTCCTTCTTTGCTGTCAATCATTTATTTTCCTCCTTTTTTAATGCCAATCAATTTGTTCCTTCAAATATAAAAGGCAAATTAAAGCATGATATTTGAGGAGTACAGCTCAAAAGGGCGCGCGGCAATAACGGCGCAAAGCCATAACTTGTTGGAATATTTTTGACCCTTATCATTTTTGTTATCAATCTCTTTAGCACGATGAGAGGAATCGTTTAATATTAATTTTGGTAATGTTTGAAAATCTTAAAAGCAAGTTATGGCTTTGCGCCGTTATGGACGCGCGCCCTTTTGAGCGTCTTATATTTGAGGGAAGAAAATGATTGGCATTAAAAAGGGAAGAAAATAAATGATTGACAGCAAAGAAGGAAAAATAATCTGAGACTCGAATAGGGGTGGGGGGCGGCATATGAACAAAGTACCAATATTCTTTCTAAAATATTGGAGATTTCAATTTTGAACATCTTAAAATTTTTATTTAAATTTAAAAGGAAAATTAATTTAAAGGAAATGGGAATGACAAAAGATCAAAGAGAAGAAGCCAAAAAGAATTTTGTTGCTCAAGTTATGAAACAATTGGGGGATTTAACTTCTTTGGGTGGATCTGAATTAAAAGTTTGGTTAAAAAATAAAATAAAAATTAATTAAAATTAAAAAGGCAAAATTAAAAGAAATGCATAATAGAATATGTAAATTAGAAGCAGAAAAGTATGATTTGGAGAAGAGACTTCAAACACAAGAATATGATGTAAATTGAACTGAATAATTTAAACAAAATATTTATTTTTAGTTAAAAGAATTAAATGAACGACAACGTCAAATAAATAGACAAAAATTGCAGTCAAAGGGAATGGACCCAAATTCGGCAAATTCTCGATATCCTGTAAAATAAATTCTTTTTAAATAAAAATAAATTAGTTAATTTTAATAACTTTCCTATTTACGATTATTTAAGTATTAACCTTTTAATTAATATTTTAAGGAATTCTTATTAAATCTAAAAAAGAACAGTAAGGCAGCTGGGCTATAGCCAGCATCTTCAGAGACCGGACTGATGTGTTGTCCACTACACCACAACGCCTACCTAATAAAAACTTTGTACTAAATTACAATTTTCCCTAAAAAAATCCCTTTTAGATTGGATAAGGAATGGGAAAATGAATAATTTAACATTTAATCCTTAATTTTATAATTTCATAAGGAAAATATTTACAAAAACAAATTATTTAAATAAAATTTTTAAATTTTATTTTCAGCCAAAAGTAGCCATTTTTAGCAAATATGACCGCCAAATTGATCGACGAAATTTTAATGAAAGAAAATCTCTTTATGATAAAGTAAAAAATTAATTTAAAATTAATTTAAAATAAAACATTTTCTTTTAAAGAAGAATGCCTTTCCCTGCTTTCCAAATGTTCCACCGCCTCCAACAATTTTAGAATTTAGACCCTTAAATGATGGAGAGCCTAAAAGTCCTGGAATTGAAGAAGAGGATGAACCTGAAGAAAATGGAGCAAAAGAAGAAGAAGATGTGGAAGAAGAGGAAGAAGAAGAGGAGGAAGAGGAGGAGGAAGAGGAGGAGGAAGAAGAAGAATAATGATTAGAAAATAAAATATATAGAAGAAATTTGAAATTAATTTTTGAGAATTTAAATAAAATTTTGTATTTGTTTTTATTAAAATTTTTAGGATTAAGTAAAATTCAACGTTTTTATTTTGGATAGCTTTGATTTTATGTAACAGGTCATGTTGTGGAAAATTTCACTGGATGATAGACGCATGGGACCATCATGGAACCCAAGCACACCATCAATCACTGATGTGGATTATTTTAATATTTTTCTACAAGTCCGGACTTAACACGAGGTATGAAAAATTTTTAAATATGTAAAAAGTATGAGTCGTATGTATACGAAAAAAATAGGTTAAATTATTCGTTTATTGAAATCGGTTATTTTGTATTTGTGATTAGTATTTTTCTAAAATGGATTTAAAAATAAAAATGATTCATTTTTATTTAATATTTTTATTCAAAACTATTTTCATTGAAATTTAATAAAAAATAAAAATGTTTTTATTTAAAATAAATTTAATTATTTTTTTATTTCTAAATAAAATTCAAACAAAAAATATTACTTTAGAAGAAGCTATAAGGACATCTCCAATTCCATTTATTGAAAGCTTTTGGTTTTTTGATTCTTTCAAAAATTAATAAAATTTTATTCTTAAGTGATTTGGCGTTTTTAAGATTTATATATGGTATGCGCGATTGTAGAAAACATTATGATAAAGGTTATGATTGTGGTGAAGGATTGGAAATTGATAATTCTGGAATAAAAGTATTTATTATTAAAAAATAAAGTTGACTGTTCTGTTATGGATATAATGAAGTATTTTCCCAAATAAAAAAAATATTTAATAACCCCATAATCTACTAATATGATGCCTGCAAAAAGGTTAAAATATGATAATGTGAAACGGATAGCTATTTAATTCCTAAAGCTATGCAGAAGGTAAATAATATATCAGTCGGGCCAATTGAAGGAGAAATAGCTAGCCCAATTCAGCTTTATTATATATTTATTTTAATTAAAAGTGGTACTATGATGATGAATTAGTTATGTGTTTAAATTTTGTTTATAAAGGATGTGGTGGAAATGAGAATAGATTTAATTTAGCACTTGAATGCTTAGGAGCGTGTCGTCCAGGTAAAAAAATGATTTAAAGATTTTCTTTGTGAAAAAATTTTAATTAAATATCAATTCACAAAAATTAAAAAGAATACCTAAACATACATATAAAAATATCCTTTTTCTCTTCACCTAGAAATATAATTTTATTATGAAATTAATTTTAAACTTAAAAATTTTAAACTCATTTTTTCTAATTTTTACTAAAAGAAATATGTATCAGGGGTGGCGCAAGTACCACAAAATACGAGACACGAGATTCACGAGATACGAGATTCTCAAAAAAATACGAGAACGAGATAAAACGAGATACGAGATCTCTCAAAAAATACGAGATTTCACGAGATACGAGACACGAGATACGAGATATTATGTATTTATTGTTTTTCAAAATTATTCATACATAAAATTTTAAAGTCGAAAATATAAGGGTTTAAATTGATGATTACAGCCGGATTATGAAGGATATTGGGGTATTAGAGGATCAAGGGGATTTATTGAAATATCGGTGATTACGGAGAATATTATGGGGTTTGGAAGGATCAAGGAGTGTTAAGGAAACATACCTTGGGATTATTGAGGTTGTCAATCTGATTTGAATGATATAGGATACCGGGAGATATGACACACGACAAGGAGGCGAAGTCTTCTGAGCCACTCCATGCTTCATTATATCCTCTTAGACACTCAATATCCTACTTAATTCTCACAACCCATCTCTCGAAATTGATGGATTCCCATATATCCATCCGAATCCTCACATCTATTTAAATTCACCTTAATCCCAGTAAATCGCCCGATATTCTTCTATCCCTTCAGTTACACCGATATTTCCCGCTTGACCAAATTTATCCCTCTTCTTTTTTCGGCGCCGCAGGCGAAAATTTTGAGAATTTTAGAAGCCAACAAGCTAGATTTCTTCCGTTTACAGCGCCGCAGGCGAAAATTTTAAGAATTTTAGAAGGCCAACAAGCCAAATGTCTTCATTTTCCAGCGCCGCAGGCGAAAATTTTAAGAATTTTAGAAGGCCAACAAGCTAGATTTGTTCCGTTTCCAGCGCCGCAGGCGAAAATTTGAGAATTTTGGAAGACTAATGGGCAAGATTTCTTCCTTTTTTCCTAATTCTAGGATCTTAAAATAGCCACAAATTTCTGGCATTTTTTCTAAAATATATCAAAAATATCTCGTGTCTCGTGGCAAAATACGAGATACGAGACGCGAGATACGAGACCTCTAAAAAACACGAGATTTCACGAGATACGAGACACGAGATACGAGACCAGCGCCACCCCTGATATGTATGTATTTATTTAATAAGATTTTATAGAAGACGATGGAAATATTCGTCTTGAGTGTACAATTGGAAAAGAAGAAAAATTAATTCCCTGCGGAGATAGACATGCAATCGAAAGAAGTTATCACGGAGGTGTAGATGAATGTCCACCAGGCTATCGTTGTAGTTCTGTCAGTATTGCTATGGATTATTGTTGTAACAGGGGTATATAAGTATGTATTGTTAAATAATTAGGTAATAATTTAAAGATTTATATTACAAAAATACTCAACCAAAATGTAAAAACGGCAAAAAAGCTTTGGAATATTTTGGAAAGTTTTGTGAAGAGGAATTTTGTCCTTTAGATTCAAATTGTATCCAATTAGAATTATTTGCACATTGTTGCCCAAAATAGATTTGATTATAAATTTATTTTTTTATTTTAATTGTTTTCTAGTAAATTAAATTATTGAAAAGTTTACAAAAATTTATCTAGCAAATAAGGTAGACAAATGCCTATATTTTCTGCAAGCCTAGAATAACGTTAATTGCTTAAAAACTGCTCTTACAAAGGAGAGTGCCTGAGGTGTCCGTGGAACTTCGCGATGAAATTTGGTAGACAGGTAGATTATACCCTACTTCGTTATGAAATTTGCATCACAAAGTGTCAAATCTTAATTTTTATTTGGAAATTTTTCTTTTTTATTGGTTTCTGTTAGTATTTTTATTTTTCAGGATTTCAAAAGTTTGTTTTGTTTTTCGTTGCCGTTTTTCAGAATTAAATGGAAAAATGTTAAGTACATAAATATTTTTATTTCATTAAAATATTTGGCACTATATGAAATTAGGTTGGGAATCGTTTTTTTTCATCACTTTTTTCTTTACTTTTTCCTCCCTTTACATGACATAATGGTCAGCATTTTCTTCCTTGTTCAATTCCATTCAATTTGCCTGTGGCATAATCAAATGAGAGGACACACACACACTGAAAGACAAAACAAGAACGAACAGGGACAGACAAAACACGGACGGACAGAACACTTCATGAAAGTCTGAGTTTCGTCCGTGTTCGCCCGTGTTCTGTCTGTCCGTGTCCGTCTGTGTTCTATCTGTCCGTGTTCGCCCGTGTTCTGTCTGTCAGTGCGTGTGTGTGTTTTTCTGTCCTCTCATTTGATTATGCCACAGGCAAATTTAATGGAATTGAACAAGAAAGAAAATGCTGACCATTATGTCATGTCAAGGGAGGAAAAAAGTGAAGAAAAAAGTAATGAAAAAAGAATGGAAAAAAACGATTCCCAACCTAATTTCATATAGGGCCAAATATTTTCATCATTAAATTCGAAAATTTGACCAGAACCAGATATAAATTTTTACAAATATTTCTTTGATAAAAATTTATTAGCAACTTTATTCTATACTAGCATTAAAGTGTATATTTTATTATAAATAAAATAAAAATGAATCATTTATACTTACACTTAAATATTTTATGGGAAATTGTTTTTAATGGAAATTAATAATGTATTTGTAAAATTTAATTACAAAATTTTGGTTGATTTTTTTTTATTTTTTTAATTAATTAAATGAATTTAATAAATAAATTTATATTTTCTTTCCAAAATGTTTTAATTAAAATAATTTTAATTTCTTTATTATTAATTAATATTAATTCAAAAAATATTACTTTAGAAGAAGCTAAAAAGAAATCTCCAATTCCATTTATTGAAAATTTTTGGTTTTTCTTTTTAAATTAAAATAATTTTTATACCTAATAATTTTATAGCGGTTTGGAGAAAGATTATTTAAATTACTTACTATTTGACAGGAATTTGTGTGATGCCCCTTTTGATAAAGGAAATAAATGCAGAGATTATGAAATAGAAAAAGATAATAAAAATGGAACTAAAGTTGTCTTTTAAGTTAAAATTTTAGAAAATAAATTTATTTTAATTAAAAGTGGTACTATGATGATAATTTAGCATTGTGTTTAAGTTTTGGTTATAAAGGATGTGGTGGAAATAAAAATAGATTTAATTCCGAAGAAGAATGCCTAAGAAGATGTCATCCAAGTATAATTATACATATACCTAGTAGTTATATGGCTATACAGTAGGCGGCGTGGTGTAACAGATAACACACCAGTCCGGTCTTTTGAAGATACTGGTTCGCTCCCGGTCGTTGAATAACCATATGCACTAGCTAAAGGAGAGAAATAGCTATAGCCCAGCTGCTTTACTTAATCTTATTTTTTATATAATAAAATATAACTACTATGTATGTATATAATTATTTAAAATAAAATTTTGTAGTGGATGCATTTAGTATTTTTCTTTTGTGTTCACTTGGAAAAGAAGAAAATTTAACTAAATGTGAAATGAAATATCCAATGGAAACGGGTTATCAAGAAAGTTTAAATCAATGCCCAACAGGCTATACTTGTATACGTTTTTTTGATACGTATCTTTGTTGTAACGATGAAAATTTTGGTATTTAATATTTTTAAAAATAATCTAAAATAATTTAAAGAAATATATAAGAAAAATACTGAACGAAAATGTAAAAACGGGAAAAAAGCTTTGAAATATCGTGGAAAGTTTTGTGAAGATGAATTTTGTCCTTTAAATTCAGAATGTATCCAATTAGAATTATTTGCACATTGTTGCCCAAAATAAACTTGATTATAAAAATATTATTTTATTTTAATTGTTTGTAGCAAAATTGAAATTGCTAAAAATCTATCTAACATATAACTAATTTACTAGAATTATAAATTTAAAGATTTGTACTCGACTTTTAAAGTATATTTTCTAGTGTTCCACCGGAATCGAAATTTTGACTGGGACCAAACCAAAAAACGCTGGAACTTTCCAAAACCGGAATCGGAACTTTCGATGAAACTCTAATTAACACTAAAGTGTGCGTATATTTAGTTATGATTAAAGTAAAAATGAATCATTTTTATAAAAATATTTTATTGGGAATTTTTTTAATGGAAATTAATAATGTATTTACAAAATTTAATTAAATTTTGGTTGATTTTTTAATTTTTTAATTAAATAAATTTAATGAATAAATTTAATTTTTCTTTTCAAAATTTTTTTATTAAAATTATTTTAATTTCTTTATTAATACTTAAAATTATTTCAATAAATATTACTTTAGAAGAAGCTAAAAAGAAATCTCCAATTCCATTTATTGAAAGCTTCTGGTTTTTCTTTAAATTGTTTCAAAAAATTAATTAAATTTCATTTTTAAGTGATTCTAAAAAGTTAGAAATTTATAATCTTGATTTGAGAGATTGTTATGAACATTATGATAAAGGTTATGATTGTGGTGATGGATTGGAAATTAATAATTCTGGAATTAGAGTTTGTATATTATTAAAAATAAAAGTTGACAATTTTGTTAATGCTAAAAAATTACGAAAATATGAAAACGAATGTCATTGCAAACTGAGTAAAAAATGTGTTTTTTTGCTAATTTCAGAGCTTTAGCAATTTAGGAAAAAATAATTATATAATAATAATTTAAGTGGTATCTTGATGAAGAACTATATTGGTGTATGCCTTTTGGTTATAAAGGATGTGGGGGAAATGGGAATAAATTTATATCTGAAGATCAATGTTTCACCACATGTCCTCGTCCGGGTATACATATTTTTTGATTTATTAACAAATATTTTCTTTAGCGGACCTGACCTATTTTAGTCTTGAATGTGAACTAGGAAAAGAAAATGGAGAACTATTTCTATGCAAACATATATCTGGCAAATGGCCTCATGAAGTATGGATGTGCCCTACAGGCTATGAATGTATTGGCGGATGGCCTTCCCGTAAATGTTGTAATACTAAAAACCGACGTAGCTTATAAATATTTCAATTTTAAATAAAATTTTTAGAAATATATTGGAAGAATACAAGCAATAAACCAAAATGTAAAAATGGCAAAAATCCGTCCGAACATTACGGAAAGTCTTGTGAAGACGAATTTTGTTCTCGAGAGGAGGAATGTATTCAATTAGAAATATTTGCTCATTGCTGTCCTAAATAAATTAAATTTCCAATAAATCTCATTTGTAAAATAATTTTAATTAAAAATAATAGTAAGATAATTAAAAGAGTGCTTAAAAATGTATTCAATACATACAAAAAAGTCAACAGCGAAAATACGAGTAAAAATTGTCTTTCAGGTTCCAAGCCAGATTGACATGGTTCTGATTAGAGTTGTTCCCCGTCCTCGAAAGTCGGGGAATTTGAGAGATTTTTGAAAATTCCCCGCCCCCCCCCCTCCCCTCCCCGTGGCCCTCACCCCATCGGGGAACAACCCTAGTTCTGATACATGTTAAGGTATCAGAATCAAAATTTTTAAAAACAAGAAAACACTGTTGAAATTGGCCAATGAAAACTGAAAGTTTAAAGTTTTATTAAATATATTTGTAATTAAAAGAAAATAAAACGTTTTTAAAATTTTTAAATTAATTAATCATCCTTTTAATTTCAATAAATTAGTGTAATAACAATTTTATATTTATTTCTTTTTAGCAAACATTAAAGTATTTTTCTGCTCATTTTCTTTAACTATTTTTATTATTTTATTAAACCAACAAACTTTTTGATCAATTAAAAGAAATACTTTTTTATTTATTTACCTCATGCTGTGGTAATTTAGGAAAAAATAATTTTATAAAACTTTTATTTATTTTTTAAATTAATTTTTAGTTTGTATAAAATATGTATATATTTTTAAATTCCTTTCTTTCCTCTAATTAAATTATTTTTATTTATATGTAGAACTAAAATATTTTTTTTAAATATTTAAAAATTTCCCAAAAATTCCATCTCTAGGTATCTTTTAAGTAAATTATTTTTATTTATACTAGAACTAAAATATTTGTAGATTAAAAGACTAAAGAAGTTTTTAAAATTAATTAGTTACTATCAAAATAAACTTTAAGAATGCCCTTCAAAATTTTTATAAATTTATTAAAAATAATTAATTAATAAACTCCAATTTCCCCAAAAAATTGTTTATCAAAACATTATTAATTTTTAAAATTAAATAAATTGACATTTTAATTTTTATTTAAAATTATTGCAACGTGGAAATATATAAAATTAATTCTAAAAAATATTTTAATATATTTAGATTCTCTCCAGAAAATTTTTTAATCAAATAAATTGTCAAAAGTTTTATTTATTTCCTCATTGCAAAAATTTAAAATAAAATTTAATAAATTAATTTCCTTAATTTTAATTTATAATTTTAATTTCCTTAAGTTTTAACTAAACCCTTTTTTTAATTAAAAAATAATTCAGTTAACTAAATAAATAAAGGAAATAAAATAAAAAATTGAATTTTCCTCTGTTAGTTATTTTAAAATTTATTTAATATTTAAATTCTTATTTTATTTAACAATTAATTAAAATAAATAATAGAAATTTCATTCGCTAAATTCTACAAACTTAAGGGCAAAAAACCTTCTTTTTCAATGCCTCAGCAAAAAAACTAAAAACTGATTCATCTCTAAAATAGACAACAATTCTTATGTTTTCATTTAACAATGATTTGATAAAAAATAAATTTCTTATAAAATTATTTATTTAAACAAGTTAATTTTGATACCGGAAGAAAGCACATATCAATTAACTTAACTAAACGCTTTCTTTCACTGTTTACAAATTGTTAACCTTTATTTTTTGATTAATTTTACATTTTAATAAGTAGTAACTTTTAGTCTGAAAGCGATGTCTAGTCCACAATCTAAATATTTTTTAGATCACAAAATTTTTTTAGAAATATTTATTATATTAATTTCCAGAATTATTAAAAAATTAAATTATTTATTAAAATGAATTCTAAAATATTTTCTTTATTAAATCCTTTAATAAATTTTAATTTAATTATTATTTTTATTTTCACAATTATTTTTCATTTGACTTTAGCAAAAATAGCAAATGATGTGTCTTTATGGTAATTATTTTTAAAAAATTTTAAATAAAAAAATAATTTTTTTCAAGTAAACCCCCTCCTCCACCTCATCCCCCTCATCCACAACCACTTCCAATCAAAACAACATTTTCCCCTCCAAAATTAACTACTACAACAGAATTAAATAATAATGATAACCCTATTGTTGCTAATCCAGTATGTAGACAACCTAAAGATAGGGGGAATTTATGTAAGGAAAATAATGGAAATGAAACAAAAATTAAAGTAAAAAAATAATTTTAAAATTAATTAATTTTTATTTATTTTTAAGTGGTATTTCGACGAAAAAACATTACAATGTTTAGCTTTTGGATATAATGGATGTGGGGGAAATGAAAATAAATTTTCTTCAATTTTTGAATGTCGGGAAAAATGTCCATTACCGAGTTGATTTTTAAAAATAATTTTTTAATTTAAAAATTAATTTTTAGTGGATTTTGGTGGGTGTTCTGGTAATAAACCTTCAGCTAGAAATTCTAAAGGAGAACAAATATTTTGTGGAGGACATCCCGGATTGAAAATAGAAATGTGCCCGACAGGTTTTCAATGTAGAGGAATGGCTTTTTATTCAATTTGTTGTGATAGTGAAAATGAAGGTAAATTAAAAAATAAAGGAAAAATAATTTTTATAAAATTTCTATTAGAGTTCGACATTTCCAATTTTCCGGGCCCGGTATCCGGGTTTTTTTCTCCCCCTCCGACCCGGGCCGGGGTTTCCGGGCTAAAAACCTCGAACACCCGGAAACCCTGAAAAACCAGATTTTATCAAAATACACGGGTTCCGGGCTACCGGGCCCGGAAAACCCGGTCCCGGCCCGGGTCCGAACTCTAATTTTTATTAAATGATTTAACAATTATTAACTAAAAAAGTTAAATTTTCATTAAAAATATTTAATTTTCAGAACTTTATAACAAAAATTTCAATCCAAAATGTGCCAATGGAAAACAACCCCATCAAATTTTTGATGAAAGAAACAATTACAATATAACTTATTTAGGGAAGTATTGCAGTGATCAATTCTGTCCTTTAAATACAAAATGTGTTGAATTGGAAATATTTTCACATTGTTGTGAATAATAAAAATTTATTTTCATTAAATTTTAAATAATTATTTTCCAAAATTTTAAAAGCATTTATAAATTTTATTATTTAAAAATTTGTAAATTATTTTATCTCCTGGTGAACGTTAAACAAAAATAAACAGAAAATATTCATTTTTAATTTTAGAAATAATATTTGCAAAATATAGATAAATATGTATTAATTATTAGAAGATTTAAATGTTTTAATTAATTTAGAATGAGTTATAATTTTATAATAAAAATCTATCCTTCAACATTACATACATATTAACTAGAAAGGTTCCGAATTCCCTTTAATAAAATTAAGTAAAAAATAAAGGTAAATGTTAATATTTTTAATTAAAAAGGGCGTGTTCTTTTATAAAAAGGGGCGTGTTCTCTTTTATTGACCTTTAATGTTTATTATTTGTAGTTTTATGGAACAATTTTAAGTAAATAAAACTAAAATTATTATATCGTGAATGCTCATTTTACTTTTTTGTTTTTAATATATTCTTAAGTTGAATTTAAAATTAAATTTTGTTTTAATTAAAAAATTATTTTTTTACTTTTAAGAAAAATAAAAATTTAAAAATGAGTGAGAAAACATCTTTATCTTTTAATGATTTATCAATCACTGGTGATTCTTGTTGTTCTACTTCTTGTATGTTAGAAGATTTCAATCAACGTTTACAAAATTTGGAGGTTCTCAACGAAAATTATCAACCCAATAATTTTTTATTTTTAGGAAATTTTGAATGAGAAAAATAAAAATGTTAAGAAAGAAGGTAATTTTGAAGAAGATGAGAAGGAAATTAAAGAATTAAATAATGAATTGACAAAAAATAAAGATTTAGTATCTCAATTAGAAATTGAAAAATCAGCAAATGAGAAAGAATTTAATTTGCTTTTAGTACAAGTTCAGCAAATGTTTTTGGAGAATTCGACAATTAAAATTATTGTATGTTAAGTTGAAATATATATTTCTTTGAGTAATTATCTGAAACTTAACACGAAAAGTTTGAATATAAAGCTGAGGGGTGTTATTTTCGAGAGAAATTTTAGACAAGGACAGGAATCTTTAAATTTAGAGTAACTTTTCATTCAAAAGATTTGATTGTTTTTTAATATCCTGTTTGCTAATTATAAGAATTATATGTTAGTCTTTTTTAAATTAGTTATCAAGTAATATTCTGACCAAACAAACTAATTTATGAAAAGAATTATCTACCCTTTATAATAATTACTTAAATTATATTCATATAAATTTATTTAATTAAGACAGAACAACCAAAAATTTCACTTGCCGACAAACTTGCTTTATTAAATAGAGAATTTAAGAAAATTAATGAAGAAAATAATAAAGTGGTAAATTGCTAAAAATATTTTTAAAAATTAATTTAAAAATTTTCTTTTAGCATTTTGTGCCTATTCCGAATAAAATAGATACTTCTGATTATCCTTTTACAATCAGCTTGTTTAGCGTTGAAAACGACACAATTAATTATAACGGGAAGGAAGATGAAGGTTTTAAAGAGAAAAATTATATTTGTACTGCTTATGGGCAAAGTTCATTTAGCAAAGAATTGGGTTGTTGTCGTCGTATTTTGTTTTATTTTGAAATAACTATGATTAAAGAATGGGCTTATAAAGTGTATGATTTTTATATAATTGAAGAGATCTTAGGGTTATAAAGTGGTAATTAGTTAAATATTATTTTATTAGAGTAATTATGACTATTTGCAAGTGGGAGTAAATTATAGAGAAAAGGTATTAATTTTGGGAAAAATGAGCTGAATTTAGATTTAAGCAAAAGTTTGACTGTATTGTTAAGTCTAAATTCATAAAAGAATATTTACTAAATTTTTTAGTGGTTATGTAGCAATTGGCTTTAATGATGTTAATGCAAAGATTTATTTGTCTAATGATAACTGCCAATATTTAAAAACTAAAAGAACATATTATCAAAAATTTCATTGGAAAGATGGTGATACTTTTGGTTGTGGAGTTGTTTTTCCGCCAAATAAAGAATCTTCTGAATCTTATGTGTTTTTTACTAAAAATGGGAATAGAATTGGTTAGTCAAATTATTTGGGCTTGATTAATTAATTTTTACTTTAATTTTAATGTCTTTATATTTTTTTAAACTTTAGGTAGTCGAATTTTCTTGAAAGAAAATGACAATAATTTGCGTCCAACTATTGAGCTTAAACAGATTTCTGTTGAAACTAATTTTGGAAATAATCTTTCTGCTAAACCATTTTCATATGATGTTTATAATCATTCTGAAGCGATTTTTTCGCATTATTGATTTTCTGATTTAAAATTTTTTATTCAATTTTATGAATTTTTCATATATTTTTTGATTATATTAATCTTTTTTTTAAATTGGTTATAAAATTTTTATCTTAAAAATTATAAATTGAGTTTTTTTCTTAACTCTAATTCATGAACGCCTAGGCGGATTGAGTGTTGAAGATATTATTCTAACAGGGCATAATAGAATCTAGATAATAAAATTCCTTATTAAGCCCCCCTCCCTAATAAATATGTATAAGACGTTTGTCGGCGATTTCTTTATTTTTATTTGTCCTTTTTACAGTCAGTTTGTTCATTTTGTCCATTTTTCTGAGTCAATTCTCTTATCTTTTTTTCTTCTTTCCCTCCTTCATTCTCGGCTGGTCATAATATTTATTTAATTCTTTATGAGCGTTTTGGAGAAATAGAGAGCTGGGCAAATTTTCCCGACAGTCTTCCTTTCTCTCCCTCCCTTCTCCTTTCCTTTCCAATATTTACGGAAACAAAAATATATTTAAACAATTAAAGTTTACCTTTTATAAATTGATTGATTTTATTTTTTATTTAAAATATTTATTTGGGTATTTAAATTGATAAAATGTTAAAATTCTTTCCCTTATTTTTGCTTAATTACCGATTACCTTCAATTATTTACCCACTATTTACACATTTATTTTTGCAAGCTTCTTTTAATGTTGTTAACTTTAAATTAAAAAAAATATTTTTAATTTAATTAAAAAATTAATTAAACGTTATATATGTACAATTTAAAAATTTTTTTTCTCCTTTTTTAATGTGAAAATTACAAAATAAATTATATATTTTAGAATGCTTTCCCTTTTTTTCGATACTTATTATTTTTCTTTTGGAAAAATTTTTTTAAATTTTTTTTATTCAATATTTTTGTTTTTAAAAAGCTTTAAATTTAAATTCAACTTGATTCAACAATTTTTATTTTTAATAAAATATTAATTTAAAATTCAGAAATGGGAAAGAAAACTGATTTTTTTCAGCAAAACCGAGAATGAGATTGGGATAGAAAATTCGAATTAAATTCACGCTAAAGTTCCATCAATTTAACTTTCAATTTTATTTTAAATTAATTAAATTTTTAAATATCAAAAAATAACTTTTCTAAATACATAAACTAGACAACCAAAAATTGAAAATTTCTTTTTTTATTTTAATCTCTTTTTTCTCTTAATAAAAAATATTTTCTTTTTGATCAAATTTCTTTACAAAAAATATTCTTTAAATGTTTATATTGTTTTTATATTGTGAATTGAAAAAAAGATTTATTGAAGAGAAGTACTTAATCCAAAATTAAATTTAATATTATTTTACCTGCTTATCAAGTACCTCCTAACAGAAAATATGAGGAATAAAACACAAAATTTATTTTTTAAATTTTATCTTAAAAATTAAATTTTGCTGATAATATGTACTAGTTAAATAAATTTTATTTCAATATTTATTTCCCTGACTTGCTTTTCCTTTAAATATACATGTCTACATATAAATATGTACTAATTAAATCTCCCAAAAATAAAATTTTCTAGAAATACCTAAACTTTAATTACTATTTAACAGAGGTGGGTCAGAAAAGTTAGAGGTGTCGGAAATCGGAAGAGACGGAAATCGGAACTGGCTTAAAAGTCGGAAATTGGAAATCGAAATTTTTTTCGGAAATCGGAATTCCGACCCACCTCTGTTATTTAAAACGTTTCAATATTTAAACTTTCTCTCTCCGTATTTTCCAATTATTTTCTTCATGAAATTCTTTCCTCCCTTTTCCTTTACCTTTTTTACTTCTTCCGCTCTTGTATGTAGATTTCAAACATATAGGCCAAAAATTTGTACAAACAATAAATTCTTCTTTTTCTTCCAACTATCTTTACCTTTTAGAAAAAGTGAAGAGGGGAAGAGTTTTACGAGAGTAGAAGAAGAAAAATAAATAAATGAGAAGGAAAGGAAAGGAGGGAGGGGAGGGGGGATAAGGAAAATGTCGAAAAATTATTTGTTTGTAGGCCCCCCCCTACCTTTTTTTTCTCTCAACATTTTGTCTGTTAGCGATGATTTGCTCCTCTCGGGAATGAGCAAGAAAAAGAGAGAAAAAGGCCAATAAATAGAAGCGTTTTTATGATCGTTAAAAGACGTTTTGTAAAAAAAACTTTTTATTTCTTTAAATGTGGCCAAATAAGGATGGAATGGAATAAATATATTGATGACATTTAAAAATGGAATGAGTTAGTTCAGCATAGTTTTTTATATAATATTCTTTAAAATATTGATATTTGTTTTAATTCTTAATTGAAGGTGTTTAGATTGATAAGGAAAATTTTTGTAATTTTGAATACAAATTTTGACAACTATTTTATCGGCTACTCGACTTATAAGGATAAGCACAACATTTTCTGAAATAAATCCAAAAGGATATTTTCGATCAAAAAATTAATCCTCAAAATAGATTCTTTGCAAAGTAACATTAGTATCAGATAATTTTTAAAAAGTTATGACAATCAACAATACCGTCACCTTTTCTTTGTATAATTTTGTTCAAACTTTGTATTATGTTATGAATAAGCATAACTATTAACAAGTTTGTAAAATCAAGTGCATATCTCTTTTATTTTAAATTTTTGGGAATTATCCTCTCTTGGATAATTCCCTCTCTTAATTTCACAAATCTCTTAATTTCACAAATTAACAAGCCCAATACAAGCTTTCAATTTTCCAATCCTAAACATTTTTTATATTAGGACATATGTATTTACTATTTTTATTTTTGTGTACAAACACCTGTTTTTCAGAAACATAAATCCTCCATACATCTTCCACCAATATATATATATTTATTACAGTTAAATATACAACATACATACCTACAAATATTTATTAATAACTAAAATTACAACAAATGCCTTATTTATAAAATAATCAAGAAAATGCTAAAACAACAGAGCATTTATTCTTTTTCTTTTAACTATTTTCTTCATATATTCTTTATTTCTTAAAAGCAATAAAAAATAAAATAAATAAAAATGTCTGTAGATGATACAATTCGAGAATTGAGTCATACACTAGCTAAACTTGGAGAGTTGGTGGTAGGTCAACAAATCAGCATAAATTAAAAAAAATAGTATCAGAATTAAGAGTAAATTTATAATTAAAAATCAGAACTGATTTTTCCCCTAAATATTCATCAAGATCAAGTTAAATAAAGTAGTAATAAATTCTGATGATAGAAATAATTATAAAATACTATTAAAATAAACACTAAACAATTAAAAATAATTTAAAAATAAAAGATGGAAATCAACGGACAAGTTGGCAGTATAAGCTCAAGAATCAACATTACTTTACAAACTTTTGATGATTCAATTTCTGGAATTGCAAAAGATGCTAATAAAATGACTTCACAAGTCGACACTACTATTGCACAGGTATTTTTATTTTAATAATTTTGAATGAAGAAGGATATTCCTTGATTGGATTTGGTATTTTACACATTACTTTGAATTATTAAGAGCAACCAGACTTTTTCCCTTTAACCTACTAATAAAATAAATTTTTCAACAGATTCCCGGATCATGGGCCTTTTATTTACTATTCTTCACAATGATTGCTGTTTTAATATTACTCTCAGCTTTACTACTCATCAATTTGTTAATCAAAATTCGATCATTTCTACGGGTATCACAAATAGAATCATCAAGTAATGAATAAATAAATCTTTAAAAAAATTAAATAATTTAAAGGAACATCAACTCCAACTCATCATTTAATGCATTCTGATTTTTCTTCCACAAAGCCTTTCAGTGAACCTCCTTGCCCCGCAGTCGACGCTCCTAAATTGAGGTAGAAAATGACCCCTCTTCCAACACCCTGTCTTCTTTTTTAAGGCATATAGCTGTTGAAATGGAACACGAACCTCGACGTTACGGGTTTGGTCCACAACAAACAAGTAGAATACCCTCAGGATATTCTAGTGCTTCTGCTTCAGCTTTTCATCAACCCGCTGCTACTGCAGAATACTTTGCTAATGGAAATGGTGTTAGAACGGGTGGAACTTGTAGTCCATCCATTTGTGATATTAGAGGAAGGTCGAGAAGCCCTCGTTCTCATCAAGGTAAATTAATTTAAATTGAGGGAAGATTTATTTTTTATTACTTTTATTTACTTTTGATTTAACAATTTTTTAATTAAAAATAAAATATATAATTAAAACATTTCAGTTTGATAGGTCTACCCGACGAACTTCAGCAAACTTATCAAACAACAAAAAAGCGCAAAATGCTTCTCTGAGGAATTTTTATTTCTTTCAAAATTAGCAAAAATATATTTTTAAAATTCACTTCTAAATTTTGTCTTAAAACTTACATATCTGTGTTTGTCTAAAAAACTGCTAAAAAATTTTTTGAATTTTTTGGTAATTGAAAAATTTTGTTTTAAATAAAATACAGATATATATAACTTTTTAAATAATTTAAATATTTTTATTTTTAATATTATGCCTTAATTTGTGTATATTTATTTTTTAATGTTTAACACATATAATCTAATAGTCACACAACCGTTTTAAATAAAAGGAACGGGTAAATAATATTATTTGAATATTTTGTTAAATTGTAAAATAAATTTATTAGAGAAATTAAAGGAAGATAATTTAGAAAATGGTTTGTTTAGAAGTTAATAGAAAAAGAATTTATATAAAAATTTCAATTTATTTTTAAATTTTATTTAACAATTCAAAGCCTAAAAATGGAAAAATATATCAAAATGAAACATTTAATATTTTTAAATAATTAATTGAATGTCTCAAAATAAATTTTGTTTAAAAATTTGTCATAAGTCGACTCAAATTTAATTGGAATCCTTTTTATGAACAAAATTTCCTGAATAAAATTTATTTTTTTTTTGTTAAATGTGATTGTTTTGAGGATTTTCAGAATTGTTTTTAATTTTAATTAATTAAACATTAATTAATTATTTAATTTCTAACTTTAATAATTG